CCCATCAGGGAGATGGTGGTGGGGTGTAAATAAATTATTATTATTATTATTATTATTATTATTATTATTATTATTATTAAATAATAGTCTACTGAAATAATTCAGAGGAAGACACCTCTAAATATTCCTCGCCTAAGAACACCTTATGAAATTAATAAAGTCACCACTGGTGGAAAGGCATCACAGACATATACCTAACTACCCCATGCTTCTTGGTAAAAATGTCCTACATGTGAGATCAGTGGGACCTACAAATGGAGGAGGAGGAGTGGAAGGACCAGAGAACTAGCCCTCCATCGGGTCCGTTTCCATTCTGGAGACTCATTCTGACACCACCTTTGCAGCATGGAGACTGCAGATGTCTTGTTATGAAAATGACAGGGAAAATTATAGGGCGGGATAGTATGGGAATCTTGTTTTAGAGTTTATATTTGCCATTTTTATGTTTAATTGATGGTGACTATGTGACAAAATAATAAAAAATTAAAAAGAAAGAAAATGCCAGGAACTCCTGTTGATGGAAAAGGAAGCTCAAAGCATCCCTTGTAGAATGAATGAATGGTGATCACAATTTCAAAATGGATTGTAGATTATAAATTTGCATCAAATAGTTGCCAGGCTTAAAAAAACTACAGGAAGGGATTGTGTTATGATTCATAACAAAGAGGAGAAAACAGAAAACAAATGGAAGGTGATATGATATCTATCTCTTTGCTGCCATAAAACAATAATCAATAGAATCCAGTCTTTTGGGTAAATTCAAGACAAGTTGTTTTTAACTAACTCAGAATTTATCAAAAAGTTACAAAATAACTCCTTCAGACAAATATATACTTAGGACGAATGTATCTGTTTTGTTTTCTGGCATCTTCATGTTCATTAATTTTCTTTCCCTTTGGACGCCATTAATAGACTCACAATTTGTGAGCTTTTGAAAAAGACTAGGCACAGAGATTTCTTTTTTTAGTATGTTTTTCTTTTCCTCTTTGTGCCCAAAATGTGTGTGTGTTTTTTTTAGTAAGTGGTTTTCTCCAATATATGAATTTGAGAATGTTGTTATTCCTAATGAACACATCTTTGTATGCTGGTTTCTGGTGTAAACAATTTTTTAAAATAAAGAGTTGCAAAACCAAAAGTGTGAACATTGCAAGATAGCTTTCTTGCTGTCTGGATATTCATTGGGGACTGTGAATTTTGTTAGATATTATTTCAAATATAAATGAATAAAATGTCTTTAGTATATGATAATTATGATTCAATTAAAGAATTAAAGAATCAAGTATCTTAAGCATTTTCTTATCTAAACTGACTTTGGAAATCTTTCACATGAAAAGTCAGTTTTGATTATGACTCACTGACATATTTTCTTCATTTCAACAGCCTGGATTGGAATATAAGGGAGACATTTTCCTGTTGTTGTTAAACAAGTGGGATTTCAAGATCTCTTTACTGCAAAACATATGCAAAACTGCAAAACTTTGCCTGCTCTGCTTTCTATCTACCATCTTATACCACATATATTGTTGCACAATGGAGATGCCAGTAATGTTATTTGTGTCCTGTCTCATCTGCACAAGAGTTCAGAAAATGAGTTCAATTTAACCCAACAGAGTCTCTAAAACCCCATTTTGTCACATGTAATATCAGCCAGTGATTTATGATAACAATTCCTCAAGTTGAAGTGAGGCTCAACCTGTTTGCCAGCATGTCAGGATGCATTTACATAAGCTCATCTTCTCATGAGATGCCCGATACCAGTCTCAGAGCTGAACTAATCTTTTCTTTCAGATCCAATTTTATATAAAAAATAAACAAAACCCACAGGAAATCTTGAAAAGGGAATAGATAATCTGTTCTGTTTCTTCTGGCTGAGTCAAGCCCCCACAGAGAATTTAGGAGTATTTCCAATGGGAATATGACTTCCCACGTGAGGAGGCTGTTCCAACTTCATCTTTATTTCCAGGAAAAAATGCACTTATACTCCTAAGTCAGAGGTGGGCAACTTTCTGAGATCTATCCTTGGTAGAAGGATTGCATCAATCAAATATTGTTTTGAATTCTTTCTTTTACTCAGAAATGGCTTCCTGAACCACCTGATGATCTGGAGACAATTTCATCCTGTCTTTGATAAAGTGTGCTGTTTTGCATATCAGAAAAGTATTTCACCAGAAGAGGAATCCACTTCTGGTTTAGGGGAAGAACTCTTGGTCTACAACACCTTTGGTGAAATTGTCACCAACCACTTTAGGTGATATAAAGCATATTTTAGTTTGAAAAAAAATCATTTTAAAGAATATAACATTGACTACTCTCTCCCTTTCCTGCCCTATGTTATAGTCCTCAGTTGAAGTTCCCCAGTTCACCCCTCCAGTTGTGGCTTTGCCTTTCTTTGCCACAAAATTTGTCTATAAGGGTCACATACTTGTGTTTTCATCTACTGCATGTCTTTGAGAAGTTTCATGGGGCATTGATGTAAAACTATACAAAGAAAACACAACTGTCAGAGCTGTTAAAGGGTTTTCTTTGAACTAGGAATGTGCAGTGGTACATGAACTTAGTAATTTTCAAGACTTTGGAAGTCGGTAGGGCAGGGAAGCCCACAAAGCCAAAGCAATTTTTATGTTTTTGAAAGGACAAGTTCAGTTTGTTTCTCCAACCCCCATCATTACCGTGTCCTGTATCTTATCACAAAATTAGTCTAAGACTGTCAGGATACACATACACAAACACACACCCATGCATGGGCATTGCACCTGTTTTGAAAATGCATTCCATTTTTGGTCTCCAAAAGTATGTTCATCACACCATCTCTTTCTCTATTTCCTCTATAAAATTCATGGTTTATATGCAATTCAAAAATATATATTTTTTCCAAATCTAGATGTATTTACCTTCTACTAAGCTCAATTAAACTCAATGTCTACCCCTCTAGGATGGGACAATTAGCTGATGTAAGTGATGTTCCTTGAAAACTGAAGACATGCTGAACTGCCACAAAACTATGGTGACAAGAGTGAACCCAGAGCATGTGACATTTACTTTTTAGGACCACAGCTCCACAAATCCACAGCTGACATGATTAGCAGCTTGGAGGTTATGGAATCATATTCCAAAAAAGGAAAATTTCCAAAATGAAGACTGAATTGCCAGAAATTATTTTAGAATGATTACGTTGGGAGGGAAAATTTAAGGCATAGTAGGAGCAGGAGGTACTGAACTTGTCCATAGACATTCATTGTACTTCTGCCATTCTCTTGCTTTGGTTTTAAAGAAAAGGACAGAAAGGAAAAGATCTGAAAAGGACGGAAAGTGCTATCATGGTATAATGACAATATGAAGGAACAATTCAAGAAAAAACTAATTGCCTATGGAAATTACCAGTTGCGGGGAAATTACTTTTGTGGTCACTGACCCTGCTGGTTCTAGAACTTGAGTAGACCACATTTTTTTCCTCCCCCCCCCCTTTTTTTTTGATGGGGTGTTGTGTAATTTTTTTTCTATTTTTTTCCTTCTTCTTTTTCTTATGGGTGTCATCGCTGTCATTTTCCTACTTTTCTATCCTCTTGAAAATATTCCCCCACTTTCGCTGTAATCTTAAATAACTCAATAAAAACTATTTTTTTAAAAAAGAACTTGAGTAGACCAAAAAAGTAATTTTTATTTACTTGCTGTTTTGTTTTTACCAATGTGTTGTTGGGCTTGGCCTCATGTAAGCCCCTTGGGGAGATGGTGGCGGGGTATAAATAAAGTATTATTATTATTATTATTATTATTACTATTATTATTAATGTTTTCAAGCTCAGTAAGATATCTCTGCAGCATGATCCTGTGCAATCCCACCAAATTCAGTACAGTATGTCTCCCCTTATCCATCAAGTTGATATCCATAATTTGACTTATCCACACTCCCCAGAAGTACCTCCATCTTCCCCAGGAAGCATTTGTGGGTTTCTCTAGGTCTTCCATTATGATTCTACAGTTTGTTTCCTGTCCAACTATAGTCAAAATATAGGGTTTGCCATTATCCATGGTTTCAGTTATCCACAGGGGAACACATCCTGATGGATACAGGGATTATACTGTAAGTCTTATTCTCTCACGCATGTACTGAGGGCCCTTCCAGACAGGTCCTATATCCCAGGATCTGATCCTAGTTTTTCTGAGTCCGCGCTGCTGGATAATCTCGGATATACAGAACACCTGTGGTCAGACCCTGGGTTATAGGGCCTGTCTGGAAGGGCCCTCAGATACATTTGTAAGGGAATACGACTTACAGTATAATCCATGTATCCATCGGGATATGATATAGGGCCTGTCTGGAAGGGCCCTGAGAGGGATTGAGACCCTCTTGCTAATTTTCTTTTCAATAGCCAAAGACATTTCCCACTGTTCTTCCACAAGTTGACTAGGGGTCCCATACCAGCTCTTTACCCTTTAATCTATTACGTAAGTGTTGCAAGTGAAACATTATTGTTTAATTATGTATTGTGTCACAGATTACAATATTAAAGACACCTTGGTCGGGTGGGGGAGAAAAGAAACCCAAACACACAAAAACACAATTAGTGTCTGCAAATTCAATGCTATAGGTTTGTTTGCTTTACTTCGATCAGCCGCTGCCAAATTCACAATCGAAAAGGCATTGCACCAAAAAGACACGGGCAGGGAAAAGATAAACCATCACATCAGTGTTTATGATTCAAAAATAAAAAAGATATGAGCTCCATGTGGTACATAAAGTGCTTGTAGAATTGGTGCGAATAAAAATAAAGGCCGGAGGGATCCTTGTTATATAGATGCCATTAGTAAATGCATACATATATTAGGAGACTTTATGGACCTGGTTCTTCAGAGTCTCCAAATCAAGCAGTGCCAGGATTTTAAAATGCCTCCAATTACTAGAACAGTCACTATACAAAGGTAAGCAACAGGTTTAAGCCTCCCCCCCCCCATGACAATAATGCCAACCCCATCACCAAAAAAGCTATAATACATATAAATATTGTTATGGAATAGTGAGGCATTTTCTTTATTGAGTGAGAGATTTGGCATGCAGTTTTATATTATGATCCTCCTGCTGATCCATAAATTACTGTACATCCAAATCGCCAGTTCTGTTTCCGGTCTGTTTTTCTTTTCTGTCAAAGCTTGATGCACATGATTAAAAGGCATTAGGTATTTTCTGATAATATGTCCAATCTGCAGAAAATTTCATACAAAAAGGGTTCCAAGGAATCCAAAAGACTGACAGCCTAAGGCTAAAAACAACAGAAAAGTGGGACTTTTGATCATAAAATGCCACCGGCATCTAATCTAGACAAATTGAGAGGAAAACAAAAGCCCTCTATTTTCCAGTATATGATTTTTTTTAATCGTAGTGAATTAAAATTTGAAAATGTCTAAATCATTTTTTAAAAAGTAAACATGAGCTGTAATACTATACCTGTAAAATGATTAATTCCATTCATTGTCATTAGAAAGTATGTAAAACATTTATTAAGGGCTTTTGCCTACAGAGGCACAACATAAATAGAACAAGTCCTGCTGAAATGTAGTCAAGGTACACATCAACCTGTTGGTAATTTGCTGTAGATGTTTCCAGAAACACCATCCACAGATGTGGGAGAGAAAGAGAGTTACTTCCAATTGCTGGATTTTGACATCTGCACTGTACAAGAGTTTGCTCCATGAACCAACCACTGTGCAACCGTTCTGCCACTGCCTCTTGCAAATGTCTGTCGGGCAAATCAAAAAGCGCACGCAGAACTTGCTCCGTGAACAGAATCGTTATTTTTTTTTCATCATAAGAGGAAGAATGGTGAAGATCAGAAACAGGCGCCCTCTTAATCCACTCCTTCAAATCCTTGAGCATTTTCCACAGCCATAAGGAGCTTCTCTCGCAATTCTTCAAAAGATTCATATGGAGGTAAGTCAAGGCGATTAAAGCTGGAACAGAAGTAAGGAGAATGTGTGGGCATTAAAAGGTTGAATTAATTCCAAATTTATCTGTGTTTTTCAGGTTGTAAAGTGGCCTGGGCCAGTGTCTTAAGGCATTTTAAAGGCATCTGAGAGCTTGAATGAATTGCTGATAATGAATGGATGGCCAACCAGCCACCCAAATTCGCTGGAGACAGGACCCTCAAGAAAGTGGGGTTTTTTACCTGACAGAATGCCTCTAAGGAATCTCCATGTCTTCCAGTACCACACTATGGTCAATTTATGGTATGTTGGATTAATATTTATTTATTTACCCTATTTACACCCTACTTTTCTCAAGGTGATTTTACATATAGGCAACTATTTGATGCCTTAAAACAACATACAATTAAAAATTTGGTTTTGATTAATCTGATTGTGGATTTGAATAATATGTTCACTCTTGGAAGCTGACCACAGAATTGAGCATAGAGATCCAAGAGTTTGCTGGAGGATCTAGAGCAGTGTTTCTCAACCTTCCTAATGCCACAACCCCTTAATACGGTACCTCATGTTGTGATGACCCCCAACCATAACATTTTTTGTTGGTACTTCCTAACTGCAATTTTGCTACTGTTATGCAGGGTGTATTTTCATTCACTGGACCAAATTTGGCACAAATATTTGATATACCCACATTTGAATACTGGTGGGGTCTTGGAGGATTGATTTGGTCATTTGGGAGTTGTGGTTGCTGGGATTTATAGTTCACCTACAATCAAAGAGCATTCTGAACTCCACCAACGATGGAATTGGATCAAATTTGGCACACAGAACTCCCATGACCAACATAAAATATTGGAAGGGTTAGGTGGGCATTGACCTTGAGTTTTGGAGTTGCAGTTCACCTACATCCAGAGAACAGTGTGGACTCAAACAAAGATGGATTTGGATCAAACTTGACACAAATACTCAATATGCCAAAATGTGGACACTAGTGGAGTTTGGGGAAATAGACCTTGACATTTGGGAGTTGTAATCGCTGGGATGTATAGTCCACCTACAATTAAAGAGCATTCTGAACCCCACCCATGATAGAATTGGACCAAACTTCCTACAAAGAACCCCCATGACCAACAGAAAATTCTGTGTTTGCTGATCGTCTTTGACGACCCCTCTGACAACCCCCTCGCGACCCCCTCAGGGGTCCCAACCCCCAGGTTGAGAACCACTGATCTAGAGAATTCTAGAGTGAACATATTAAATCCACAAATTATCAAATCTGCAAAAGTGGAAGACCAACTGTCACTCATTCTCCCAAACTAAATTATGATTCTAATTTACTGAGCAACAATTCACTCCTTATGTGGTGCATATAATCACTTTTAATCACATCTGTAATTATGGGAGTATGCCCTCACTAAATTGCAGAGGAGGAATATTAATTACATGGCTCAAATGCTGGCTTATGCTGTGCCTCGTGCTTTGTTGTACATATTAAGGTGCTAATGAGGGATTCAGGAAGAGTGTTTTGTGTACTATAGGCCAGATCATTGCAGGATTTGGTGTTGTTTTTTAAGTAATGAAAAAAATAAACATGGAAAATGCCATTTTTAAAACAGTAATAAACTACTTGGGTATGTATAATGATAAGCAATTATTTTTAAAGTAATTTTCCAAGCTCTGATTCATCTGAAGGATGACAACTTCCTGAAACATCCGCCTGTGACTTTGGCATGATTGAGATTCCCTGGACAAAAGGACATGTTTATTTTGATATTCCATTGTACATTATGCCTAGCACACACACACACACACACACACACACACACACACACAAACATACACCATTTAGTTAGTGAGTGACTGCAACTTGTGTGCATGGAATATATACATTGTATATGGAGAAGCAATGATTGTCATGATATCAGTGGAGATTGTTGCTTCTGTAGAATTCAGTTCTATTCCATTCCGGTTTTCCATCACCGAAAGCACTTGAGTTTATTCAAAGTACAGGACACTAAATTACCACCAATTTATCTATCTCCCTGCTTGTACCATGATGTTCTGTGAGTTATTTGACTGTTCCAAAATGCATCCTAAGTCTCAGGAGCTACAATGGCTGAGTGGAGAATAGTTGAAAATATTATACTATGCATCGTGGGAGAGAAGGATCGCCTTCTGCCAGTAGAAAGCAGAACATGTTCTGACAATGCAACCTCCTATATTTAACCCTTTCAGAATATGCAATAGCTCAATCCAGCATGTCAGATTGGTGAAATTCCTGCTGTTACTTTTCATTCAGTATTCAGGAAGAACATGAACTTGCTAATAGTTATATCCCAATTTTTCAACCTTTCATGTCAAGAAATTAAATGGTCTCTTCTTGTTATTTTGAAAACAGGAGACCCCAGTGGTGCAGTGGGTTAAACCTCTGTGCCGGCAGGACTGAAGACAGGTCGCAGGTTTGAATCTGGGGAGAGCGTGAATGAGCTTCCTCTATCAGCTCCAGCTTCTCATGTGGGGACATGAGAGAAGCCTCCCGCAAGAATGATAAAACATCAAAGCATCTGGGCATCCCTTGGGCAACGTCCTTGCAGATGGCCAATTATCTCACACCAGAAGCGACTTGCAGTTTCTCAAGTTGCTCCTGACACGACAAAACTTTTTTTTTGAAAACCTGTCAACATTGAGTGTTTGGGATTGGAGAAGATTTAGAGTTGATAAAATAGAATCTCTGCACACCTGCTGCCAACCCAAAATTAAGAACGTCAGTATGGACTTTATAGAAGTAACTGGTGGGGGTCTTTGCTCCTCTTACACTACAGATTCAATATATGTATAGCCAACCATCCACATTTCTGGATTAATTTTTTTTTGCAGAATTGATTATTAGTGGATTTGATTGTTTGTGGATGTTGATCATAGAGTCATACTGTAATATCTAGAGATTCCTAGAGAAATGTTCTCTCAACACAAAGGGTACACAACTATTTTCCATGGGGAGCACTTCAAGGCATCATTGTCATGAACATCCTAGGCTTTCAGACTCCAGACTTCTGTCTTCCCCTTTCTTTTGCACTACATAAACAACAGCTTCACCCACACACTCACCCCCTTTCAGATATGACATTTCACTCAGCTAAGTCTGGTTTGATGAGTGTGACAATACTGGCTCTCTTCAGCCCAGTGCTTTCGGACTCAGCCATAGCTGAAAGGTGGACAGGTGTGTTGGCGAATGAAGTGCCATAGGTGAAAGGAGTGTGTGCATACAAACATTCTGTATTGCAGTTATGGATATGTAACCTAGAGTTACACTTCCACAATTGCTACATATTAACTATCGCTGTGGAGTGTCAGAATGGAATAGTGGTTTGAGTGTTGACTTTGACTCTGGACATCAGTATTCAATTCCCCACTTGGCCATGGAAACCCAATTGCTGACCTTGGGTGAGTCACACATTTTCAGTCTCAGAAAACCTGATGGTATGTTTGCCATAAGTCAGAAATGACTTGAAGGCAAACAGTAACAACCACAACAGAATCATGATCACGACACAATAATAATTGCCTTCTCAAATCTACTTCACCAAGTATCAGAAGCATCAGTTGAAGACAGTTTCTCCTGCTGGTGAAGTAGGTAGGACCATGGGATTTTACTTAGTCACATATGTGTAACTAAGTGCAGTATAAAATATGGAACAATATTGCTTTTGCTTGCTACTTACCATGTGTGAGCTCTGGGTAATTTTTCAGGACTTCCCCATTGCTCTATTGTAAACAGCTGAGGACCATTTGAACCTAGATGGAGAACAGGTGGTGATGAATGGAAGAAACAACCCCAACACACTCATTGTAAAGACTGTCATACATTTGTGATGTCACTGAAAAGTAAGGCTTCTAAGAAAATGTGAACCATTGCTTTTTCATGGCCAAAATGGACATGTGGACTCTAACTGTGAAAGATGAAAAAAATCGGAGCCTCCCATGATCACAACCATAAGCAAGGGAGAAGAGATCACCATACTGGCTCTAAGGACAAATGCTTACAGGGATTACAACATGATAAGAAAAAACTGGCACAGAAGGGCATTTGTCCTACAGCAAAGCAAAGTATTTTGATCAAGTCTCAGTCTAATGTACCTTGTCTAAAAAGGAGATTTTTTTTGTAGCAGGACAGGAAAGTTCACCCCAAAAATCAAAACAAGGAGGAAGATATTTTTATTGATGGGGTGGACACTCTAAGGCCCCTTCTACACTGCCATATAAAATACAGATTATCTGCTTTGAACTGGATTATATGGCAGTGTAGACTCATATAATCCAGTTCAAGCCAGATAATGTGGATTCTATGCTTTGATGCTTTGTATGCTTTGATAATCTGGATTATATGGCAGTGTAGAAGGGGCCTAAGAAGTAGAGTTCAGATTGTGGGACAGTATGTACTAGCAATCTTAGCTAACATATGGAGTACTGAGGAATGCTGGAAGTTGTAGTCCAACATATTCTGGAGGGATGTATTTTGTGTTCCCCCTCCTAAGACCAGGAACAGTATGACATTATAATACAACTTCATATATGTTGCACAATGGCAGTGAACTTTTCTCCTGCCCCCAACTAAGATGCTTCTAACCCAAATGCACTTCTTAAGGAGTATTAATTTGGCAAATGAATCCCCAAGCCTGCCCTGTGAGGATGTAACCTGAATATGCTAGAAGGATATTCTACAAGGAAGAATTTGCAGCTTGGAGCCAAATATGTGCCAAACCCTTGCAAATGCCTTTTCTTATTCCAGTCCCACTCTCATCAGACATCTTTCCAGCCCCATTGCCCAGGTGGAGAAAAAACACAACAAAATATTTGTCCAAAATTATGGGCAAATTAAAATGTTAAGTGTATATTTCAGCTGAGTCTACCTACAAATCTACTCCCTCTAAAGGTTCTGTGGAGTTCTTTAACAAAAGTTGGGTGGCTATTATTCAAGAATGCATTAGCAATTTGCTTGTGGGTTGGACTAAATGTTCCATCTCTATAATTCTTGTCTACATAGGAACAAAAAAGGCTGCATCCTTAGAAGTAGTTCTTCCCTGTCTGCTTCCACTGAGATCGCCCTTAATAATAATGGAGACTTCTTGTGAAAAAACTTTACCCATATAGGAACAATATTTTCAACAATAAAAAGATGGTTTTATTTGTGCCATGTGTTTGGGATGATGGTGGTATTCCTTAGGTATGTATTTAAATTTTGAAGAATACATCTATTCAGCTGCTTAAGCCTGAACATTGGTGGGGGATCCTATTCAAAGCCATGAGAACAACAACAAAGAATTAACTCACCATAAAGTTCAGCAAATCCATTCATAGGCACTCGTGATGTCCCAGTTACAAACTGCAGTAGTCGGATACGTTTCTCAGCATCCATCAGTAGCACAGCCTATAGAACAGACAGTGACAAAGATTTATTGATGCTTTTATACACAACTCTGTCACATTGACAGGTTAGAAATAATAACTTGGTTTTTAATTAAAATTTTAACATTGAGAAACAAGCTGGGGCCTTTTCATGTAAAGTAGTGGTTCTCAACCTGTGGGTCCCCAGATGTTTTGGCCCCCAACTTCCAGAAATCCCAACAGCTAGTAAACGGACTGTGATTTCTGGGAGTTGTAGGCCAAAACACCTGGGGACCCACAAGTTGAAAACCACTGGCCTATATTAAGCTTGAGAATCCCTGAATAAAGAAATATGTTCTTATATGAGAGCATAAGAAAATAGCTACTGGAACAGACTAAAGGTAGAATCTATTAAGTGGACAACCACAATGGACAACCAGTTGTCTAAAGGAAGCCCACAAGCAGGACATGATTTCAACAAGGCCCCTATGGTCTTGCTGACCATATATTAAGATTATTCCTTTTGGCACTGAACGGATATAGAAACATCTTGGCTGGTATTCACGGATTTAACTATCCTCCTTGAATTCCTATGTAAGCAAGTAGTCAGATATCATTATTTAGGTTACAGAAGAGAGATAAGAAGAAGCCTGTGAAGAAAAATATCATTTATTGTATCAAGCATCACAATTTTACCTTCCAGTACCACTGAATGACAGGATGGTTTGGACAGTATCCATTCTTGTAGATGGTATGTTGTCTCCAGTCATTGACATCAACATCACCAAGACCACACATTAGCAACTGCAAATGAACAAAAGTTTTGAAGGATGCACAACAACTTTTACAGTAAGTGTTCATTGTATTTTGTGATATTCCAGAGTCTAAAGTTCTTGCAGAATTTTCATCTGCAGACACATAAAAAACTAGACTCATATTGCTATAATGAATACCAACAACAAGCTTGATTCTATAGGACAAGACACATCTTAACATATTTTGAAAGCACATCCAAGTGCAATATTATAGTAAATGTATAAACCAATTAATAATCTACACCAGAGTGGCAATCATACTGCCTTTTAGAACTCCAGCTCCCAGCATTTCTCAACATTGACATATTGATCTATACCAAGAGACAGGTTAAACAATACTATCAATACATATTTACTGAGGCATTGGATCTTATCGCCTTCAGTGGGATATATCCAAGACAATTTCCTAGAATAGTAGATCTACTGATCAATAAGTTTTATGAAAGTGGTATGTGGCAAAGGTTACACCCTTGTAAAACTTTGTGGGAGTTAAACTCCTGAGTAAACTAGGCCACATCATTTTCCTTAGCTGGAATAGTGTCTTTCTGGAGGTGGGGGTGGGGTGGGGAATTAATATATTATTAAGGAGCTTGATTAGGTTGGCTCCATCGATCCTTTCCTTTTGGAAGAAGTACAAATCATGGTTCTGGGACCAGACATTTGGGTAACAGGCTTAACAAGTAATTGCAATGATTCGTGAGAACTGATAAGGGACAAGCTTTGGACTGGAACTCTGGATGCTGAACTGGACTTGGATGTGGTTATATTGCTCTTAGAAATGTTTTAATTGCATATTTTATAACTTACTGTTTTAATTAATGTCAATTTGTGTTATATTGTTTTGTTGCATATATTGGTATCAAATTGCTGCTGGATGTAAGCTGCCCTGAGTGCCCCCCTCTGGAGTTGAGAAGGATGGGATACAAATGTTTGAAATAAATAAATAAATAAATAAATACATGTCAGGGGATTGTCAGGTAGCTCATAATTGTGTACATGGTAAAATCAAATGAATATGTTCCCACCCCCAAATAACAAAAATGTAATGACTTTTTCCACTGGCTGTGCAGTGTTTTAGAAGAAAATAATATTTCTAAAAATAAATTAAAAACACAAGGTAACTAACCTCCAGCTCATTTTCATCAAAGATTTTAATTAAGTCGGTAGGCAGGAGTTCTGTGAAACCCTGAAACCAGCGGGTGAGGAACATGGAAGAAAAGACAGCATAAATTAAAAGTTCATTCCAAATTGATTTAAATATCTTTCACCATAAAGAAAGCAAAGTCTAAAGTTTGTTTTTTAAAGTAAGAAGAGAATAAAGGCAGTTCTAAAGTTACGAACAAGATAGGTTCTGTATGTTGAATTTGAATGTAAATCGGGACATTTTACAATATAACTCCAGATAGATAGATAGATAGATAGGGAGGGATTAACAACCCTGTGGCATTTGCTACCTGTGCCCCTGTTTGGAAGATTTCACCTCACTTTCTGTCCCTGTGAGAACTGGATTTTGAATTTTTTTGATTGTTGTGAAACAAGGATTGGTGAGAAAGCTTCAGGGGAGACACTTTTTCCCCATGACAACTTACAGGAGTGAATTTCCCTTCCTAGGGGTAGATTTCTCTCACTTCCTGTTGTCTCATTTACATTTGTAACTATGAGTCATTTGTAGGTCGGATGTATGTAACTTGGAACTGCCTGTACATCATTCCCAAGAAGAATAAAAGCAAATAGTGTTCAACTGAGAAAATTTTGGTTTCTTTCAAATCCCAGCAACATAATGCCAAGTAACTATACAATAAAAAGACAGAAAAATGTAGCAAAAGAAACCATGTTGTGATGGGAGCAGCTGAGAGTGCACACTGGAATTTGGTTGGGGGGATGCTGTTAGACGTGAAGTTTGTCATACCCTCCAACCATGCTAGGATTATTCGCATTGCTATGACCATCAATATGACTGAAAAAAGTTCTATTCTGATTGCACACATTTCAGAAACTTTGAAATGGCTCCCCACGGCAAGGTGCCACTTCTTCAAAACAGCAACTCCGTGGGGCAGATGCCAGGCTCTGAATGGCTTACAAAGAGACTAAGCTAAGCCTGAAAGGGGACGACAAACTAAGGAGTAAAGATACAATAGTAGACTGCAAAGGCTTTTGGATTTATCCTTTGTGAGCTGAATTGCTACAACACAGTATGGTCCCCAGGAAAAGTGGAAATAAATCAAACATAATAGTGAATCATGTGGTCAGAAGCTGAATATCCTCAGACTGACACATCCAGATAAGTGGCTGCAATATGGTGCCATTTTCGGTGTTTGATTTTTATCCATTCATTTCTTTTAACATGTCTGAACTTTAAAATAAAACTTAAATCCAAAGAATTCAAAGGACAGCAAACACAGAATTGTTGAGTCAAAATGTTTTAACAAAACGATCATATATAACCATACTATGATAAAGAATGATTCCCGTATGTAATGAATGTTTCAAGATAGTGAGAACAAAGCCCTGTGATATTACTGCTAGTCGCTATTAATCTTTATTTTCAATGGGGTCTCTCGTTCAGATTGAAATGTGTATCATAGTGTATATTTTATGAAGTCTTGCCATTTGTTAGGTCCTTACATGATAGGTATATATAGCTGTCAATCTTGAGGTTATTACTTTCATCTCATAAACACTGATTCTAGGCTCATTTTTGGACTGTTTTAAGGAGTCTACGGTCTGAAGCAGGATTCCTCAAACTTTTTAAACAGAGGGCCAGGTCACAGTCCTCAAACTGTTGGAGGGCCGGATTATAATTTGAAAAAAACATGAATGAATTTCTATGCACACTGCACATATCTTATTTGTAGTGCAAAAAACAATTAAAACACTACAATAATTAAAATGAAGAACAATTTTAACAAATATAAACTTATTAGTATTTCAATGGGAAGTGTGGGCCTGCTTTTGGCTGATGAGATAGGATTGTTGTTGTTGTTGTTGTTGCTGCTGCTATTATTATTATTATTATTATTATTATTATTATTATTATTATTAGAAGCTCTCTGAAGTTTTAGGTGCCCTTACTGCCTATTACAGGGAAAACCATCTGATTCCCAATCCATCTAAAACACAGATGTGCTTTTCACCTTAAGAACAGACAAGCATCTCAAGCTCTGAGGAGTACCTGGGAAGGAATCCCACTGGAGCATTGCAGTACACCCAAATACCTGGGAGTTACCCTGTACCGTTCTCTTTCCTACAAGAAGTGCTGCTTGAATATCAAGCAAAAAGTGGGCGCTAGAAACAAAATCATGCAAAAGCTGACTGGCACAACATGGGGATCACAATCAGATACAGTGAAGACATCTGCCCTTGCGCTTTGCTACTCTGCTGCTCAGCATGCATGCCCAGTCTGGAACCCATCTCTCCATGCTAAAACAGTGGATGTGGCTCTTAATGAGACATGCCGCATTATCACATGATGCTTTCACCCTACACCACTCTAACAATTACACTGTTTAGCCAGTACTGCACCACCTGACATCCGCCGGGAAGTAGCAGCCAATAATGAAAGGACCTACAAGGTAGTGACATCTCCAGCCCACCCCCTGTTTGGATATCAGTCAGAACACTGACACCTTAAATTAAGAAATAGTTTTCTAAGATCTACAGAGATACTCGCAGGAACACCTCAGCAAGCGAGAGTCCAAAAGTGGCAGGCTAAAACCCAGAACCTAAACCCATGTCTGATACCAAATGAGAAACCCCCCCCCCCCCGAGCACACAAAAGCCTGGGTAACTTGGAAGGTGCTGAACAGACTTCACTCTGACACCACAAGATGCACAGCCAATCTTAAGAAATGGGGGCCACAAAGTGGAGTCCATGACATGCGAGTGTGGAGAAGAGCAAACCACAGACCACCTATTACAATGCAGTCTGAGCCCTGCCACATGCGCAATAGAGGACCTCCTTACAGCAACACCAGAGGCACTCCAAGTGGCCAGCTAGTGGTCAAAGAATGTTTAATATAATGCCAAGTTTTCGAACTTTGTGATTTTTAAAAATACATTACAACTTTATCCTTGGTTCGCTCCTGATACGATAAATAAATTATTATTCATTGAAGTGGATTATATGACAGTGTAGTAGTATGATTCTCTGCCTACCTTCCTCTTCTTCAACTCCTTACAGAGATGAATCAAGCTAGAAGGCCAGTCTGCATTTAATTTATTTCTTGCCTTTGCAGAAAGAAAAAGGACCTACGGCACTCAAAAGAACAGTGGAGAACGACTGTGGTGTTTTGGGTGCATTGTGCCATAAATTTTCATAATGTGTTGTCATTGATCCCTATGTGGTTATATTTTGGAAGCCTATGAAACATATTGATTTTAAAAATGTAGTTTAATCTCAGCAAATATAGACTACGAGACAGAAAATAATAAGCAGCTGGCAAATCAACTTACCTCCAGAAATGCATTCATTTGCTTTTGAACTCTGTTGACAAACCGCCACTGGATGACTAAACTACAGCATTCAAAAAAGAGAGAGAAAAAATCCCACCTCCATTAGAACAAGAGAGATAATTTAAATAGTATCTGAACCACTCTAATGTCTTTCTCTGGCTTCCCATTTACAGCTTCAGTAATCTTTCATCAAACTGAGAGAAAATGTAAACAGTACAAACGAGGTAAATGCAACGTTTCCTGCCTTTGCTGCAATTCTGTTATCTCCTGAGCTCATGAATATGTGAAGCTTTTTCATTAATTCCTCGGATTTCCTTTGGGAGACTGATGAGATCGTTAAAGAAAATTACTGATGAGCACTGAAGAGTAATTCAAAGAGATTTTTTTTTCATTTTATGGCCTGACATTTAAAGATCTCAGTACATATGCTTTAAAGTGCTTCACAGATGACCTTTCTGTATTTAAAAGAGGTCTGTTGTGCAGAAACAACATGGCATTAATTCTTTGGTTTCTATGGAGATTATGCTCTATTTTACTATATTGGGGGTAAAGGAAATTAATCACTATATTAAAACAATCGCCTAGTAATGGTATGCCTTTATAATTCAGGTATTCTGAGTTGCACTCTCCATTTTATTTTTTTAATGCAAAGTCACCAATTATAGGTTGCAATTCAAAGCAGAGAATAACGTGCTGAATATGTTCTCTACTGCCTGTTTGTTTCCTATTACACATGCCCTATGACTTCTGTTCCTAATTAGGATTTTGCCTTTACTGACTGATTTTCATTTAAAACAAAGCCTTGGAAGAAACATTACATGGAATTCCAGTATGGTTTGGCCATGTAAGAGTCTTCAAAGTCAAGAGATTCCAAGGTATTTTTAATAAGTTATAATGTAATGCAGTAGTTTAAAATATATAGGAGCCTTTTAAATTTAAGTCTGAATGTCTGTTTGTTCAGTTATGAATGTGGTTTGTAATACTAACTAGGGTTGCCACAGTGAAAACTGGAGAAGTCTCCCACAATTTAATGGCTGTGTAGAAGGGGAGATTTTAATAAGTTACCTAGTTGTTACCTGATTGCATGACTACCAACATCTACTTTATTTATTTATTTCGTGCATAATAAATAAGTTTAAAACTGATAAAATAAAGGGATCACAAGCAGCTAAATAGTTTTAAAACAAAAATGGGCAACAGTGACTGCATTGTCTGTAGCTTTAAACAGTTCTTCCTCAGTTCATGAATCCGGAAATTTACCTACCATTATTTATTTATTTATTTATTCATTTATTTATTTATTTTTCGAACTTATATGCCGCCACTCCCCTGGGGCTCGGAGCGGCTTACAAGAAGAGGCTAAAATTGAACACAATTTAAAAACAATTTAAAACAATTTAAAAACAGCAATATCAGAGATCAAAAGCCCGTCAAAACAGATATGTCTTAGATGCCCTGCGGAAACCTGATAAGTCCCGCAAGGCTCGGACTTCAGGTGGCAGAGTATTCCAGAGTGATGGTGCCACTGCTGTAAAGGCTCTGCGTCTGGTTGCTGTTAGACGCAAGATCTTGACATTGGGAATTTCCAATAGATCTTGGTCCTCATTAATACAGGGGTCATAGTATACCCAGTGCCAGGAGTTCTATCAACTGGCATCTGACTTGAGAGTTCCTCACTTTGGGGCCATTGAGACATACCCGTTGAAAGATTTGTTCAACGGGTAGGAAGCAAACTTTCCCAGATTTCTCAATGGCCAAGTAACAGAACCCACTTTTTACTAGCCTCACGTATTCTGGACTTTATGAATGGCAACACTCACACTTTTCTCTTTAAAACAGGTAGACAACATGCAGCTCCTTGAGTCAAAGAGAACTATCTCTGGAGAAAATCTCAAAACAAGGGTAGGATCACATAGGAAGATGCAGTTTTTCTGATAATCTGGACCTTAGATTTTGTAAGTCATGACTAGCACTATGAATTGTGGCCCCTTCTACACTGCCAAATAAAATCCAGATTCACTGCTTTGAACCAGATTATATGGCAGTGTAGACTCATATAATCCTGTTCAAAGCAGATAATGTGGATTACCTGCTTTGATAATCTGGATTATATGGCAATGTAGAAGGGGCCTGGGCCAGGAAGCAGACTAGCAGCCAGTGGAGCTTGCAACAATAGAGTGGTTTGTTCCCAGGAGTTGGCCATAAACTCTCAGTATAAAATTAAAATATCTGAGTTTCTGATGTTTTATTTGTTCAGTCACTTCGAACTCTTCATGACCTCATGGGCCAGCCCATGCCAGAGCTCCCTGTCAGCCGTCACCATCCCCAGCTCCTTCAAGGTCAAGCCAGTCACTTCAAGGATAACATCCCTCCATCTTGCCCTTGGTCAGCCCCTCTTCCTTTTTCCTTCCATTTCCCCAGCTTCATTGTCTTCTCCAAGCTTTCCTATCTTCTCATTATGTGGCCAAAGTACTTCATCTCTGCCTCTAATATTTTTCCCTCCAGTGAGCAGTCATATGGACTGGTTGGAGCTTCTTGCGGTCCAAGGCACTCTCAGAATTTTCCTCCAACACCACAGTTCAAAAACGTCTATCTTCCTTCACTCAGCCTTCCCTTATGGCCCAGCTCTCACATCCATAGATTGCTATGGGGAACACCATTGCATTATCTATGTGGACCTTTGTTGCCAGTGTGATGTCTCTACTCTTCACTATTTCATCAAGATTCTATTTTATCTGAGTTTCTAATTGCTATCAAAAGAGATTTGATTTGTAACAATTCCTGGTGAAGTTACCCTGAAGTTCAGTTTGAACAAATAGGATTGTTAAAATATAAAACTGGATAAATGAATACATAAATGTATACATACTCAATATATTCTCTTTTGTTTTCATTTGTGACTGTGATTTCAGATCCATTTGGTTTCAAGTCAACTTGATATGTCTGCAAATAGAAAAAGGTAAATAATATTTAGTTCTTTCTATTCTCCCCTTTCCCCCTGAGCCTTGGATGTCAAAGGCACTTACAAAAACCAAAACAGGAAAGAAAAGTTAAAACATAAAAGTTTTTTTATTTGCTTAATTTCTATACCACCTTTCTCCAGCAATAGGATCTAAGGTGGATCACAGTCAACAGAAATAAAACCAATTAAAAGCATACTTATTAAAATAAAAACAACACATATAGAGAATAATCACTTTCCTGGAAGGTTCCTTTCCAGAGAGCAAACAGTCCCCACAGGCCTGCTGAAATGAATCATGCAGGTTTGGAAACATTATCTACGTGGTAAGAGCATGTCAGAAAGTATTGCTACAGTTATTAGATTCTAATTTATTGCATGGCTTTTCTAATTAATGAACTCTCTGCAATTTTGATTTTTCTAACATTATTTCTGGGTCAAATCTATGGAGATTTGTTTCCTGATTGCCAAAATGTTCCATGCTTCAAAGATGACCCCAAAGAAAGGTGAACTGTTCCAAGGTAATTGATAAATCAGAATTAGGCACCACATTTCATTAGCACGTTAAAGGCAAGACTAATTGGTGTGTCATCTGCTCGTTTATAGGAATGTAACACTGTTCAATGGGGACAACGGTGTCAGTGTTTGGAATAGCAGTGATGCTCTGTCGGGCATTTCTTCAAACTCAACGCAGCTGCTCCACTGTGATGCCAGAATAAAAAAGAACATGATAGGTACAAATCCAACTGGCTTTCAAAGAATGCCATCAACACACCAAGGTGGACCAAGTTTGTTGACTAAGAAGGCTAACAAGTTGAACTATATACTCACACACTCCCACTCTGGATCAGTGTTTGTGGCACGTGTAGGTGGCCTCTTAGACTAGAAGTTCATTGGCCAATACACATTTCGATGCCTTAAATATTAGACCTGTTTTGGGTATGTTTGACCTGCTGATTCCAAAATTGGCAGTTTCCCCCTATTAGCTCTAGTTTCTGAGATACAGACCATATGCCATATACTACTTCTCACTCTGCTTGCTTATACAAGACTTATACAAGACAATAGTATGTAATAAATGTGATAAATCAATAAAAAATTATTATATAAAAAAACTGGGATATTTTAATGTAATGTTAAAATTAATACATTTTAAGAATGAAGAAAGCATATTAAAATTAGAAGAAAAGTTCACTACATTAAAATCTACTTATTTTATACTAAAAGCACAGATAACACAGGGAGTCCCTAAGTTACGAACAAGACAGGTTCTGTGCATTGTCAAAGGCTTTCATGGCTGGAATCACTGGGTTGCTATGAGTTTTCCGGGCTGTATGGCCATGTTCCAGAAGTATTCTCTTCTGATGTTTCACCCACATCTATGGCAGGCATCCTCAGAGGTTGAGGGGTTCTTTCTGGATTTTTTATGTTTGGCTTTAACTTCAGAGGAGCAAGTTATTTTCCTCATTTCAGAGTCTACTGACATGTTCATTCAGCTGCAACTACAGCTATTGGTGAGAAGGAATTAAGGACCATCTGGATTGATAATCTTTTTTTCTCCATTTCTGGTTCACAGGAATATTGATACTGAGAAAATATTAGCCTGAAGATTCTATCCAGATCATTTTCATACCTACTATTAAATGTAGATGAGCTGCTATCATGTGATATGTATGCAATTTCTTAATAAGACAGAAATTCATTGGGGGGTTGGACCAAATGCATTTCCCAAGAAATATAGATTTTACATTTGTGTTAGAAGGTGCAATGAAGCAAACGTAATTTAAGTGTCATGTTATGAAACCTTTTCAGGCTTAAGCAGTGTTTTTCCAGAAGAACAATCTTCCTTAAGCTGTTGTTAAGCCTTTGAAATGCAAATTGTTCCTCAAAATCCTGTAAAGTCTGGTTTAGGATGAAAATTTTGGCTGAGATTAAACAAACAAACAAACAAACAAAATATTTCCATATCCCCCTCACATAATGTCAGAAGAAGCAATATTTAGTGCTCGTTTTATTTTGTGCTCTCCTTTGTCAGTTAATTTCCTGACAAGTGTAACTCTTCCAGGAATTAATCTTCCCTCCAAGGGGTAGATTTCTTTCACTTCCTTATTTCATTTGGACACATCTTTGGAATTTTCAGTGGCTCCTTCCAGATAATTGGGATCGGGCTGTGGCACAGCTAGTTAGTAGCCAGCTGCATCAAATCACTACTGACTGAGAAGTCATGAGTTCAAAGCCAGCCTGGGTCGGGGTGAGCTCCTGACCACTAATATTCTAGCTTGCTGTTGACCTATGCAGCCTGAAAGATAGTTGCATCTGTCAAGTAGGAAATTTAGGTACCGCTCTATGTGAAGAGGCTAATTTAACTAATTTACGACACCATAAAACCTTCCAGTAGCATGCATAAGAATGAGGAAGTACTCCACCAAGGACACGATGTCACAAGTGGACGATAAAGCAGCAGCTCCCCCTGTGGCCGGAATCGAGCATACCCTCATGAAGCCAGAAAGCTGGAGTGTTAAATTGCCTCTGTGTCTGTCTATGGCATTGAATATTTGCCATATATATGTGCATTGTAATCCACCCTGAGTCCCCTGAGAGGTGAGAAGGGTGGAATATAAATACTGTAAATAAATAATGCAATTCTCTCCTATACGGACTAGGTTGGGCTGTTTTCTGGCCTCTTTCTGCCAACAGGAAAAAAACTTTTTAAAAATTAGGGCTGTTAATTTGCTATTGATTTTGATAGGATAGTTTGCCTTTGTCTTTATTATTATGTTTCAAAGTGTTTTAAATGTGTATTTTAAAGGGATTATTTCCTTTTTTAAGCTTTTCAAATAAAAATTGTTTTAGCTGTTAATTTGTTTTAATCTAAGTTGTAAATCATCTTGTGGCTAAAGTTGGGAGCAAAAACAGGATATAAATAAGATAAAATTAAAACAAAAGCAATTATCATGGTTTGTAAGCTAATACTAAACAGGCAATGTCTTAGAACAATGCTAGGAATATGTTGGAATGGACTGGATGCTTGACTTACCTGTCCAAAGTTTTCTTCATCTATACAAAACATGAGATCCAGCTCTGTAGGGTCATTCTCCAGGATCCATTTCAAGGAGTTGTAATATTCACTGTCCTGGAAGAACAGCATTGTTTCCCATTAGTCACTTTTTGCAAATATAACAAATAGGAATACGCCTAAATACCAGGGGTTGGGAACATGTGGAAAGGCAAGGGGTTGTATTAATGTACTTTCAGGGGGCATTTTCATCATGATTTGGTGACCCCCAATCATAAAATTATTTTAGTTGCTACTTCATAGCTGTAATTTTGCTACTGTTATGAATCATAATGTAAATATCTGATATTCGGCGTGTATTTTCATTTGTATTTCAATACCCAATATGCCCAAATTTAAATACCAGAGGGGTTGGAGACAATGACTGATTTTATCATTTGGGAGTTGTAGTTGCTGGGATTTATAGTTCACCTACAATCAAAAAGCATTCTGAACTCCACCAATGATGGAATTGAACCAAACTTGGCACACAGAACTCCCATGACCAACAGAAAACACTGGAAGGTTTTGGTGGGCACTGACCTTGTGTTTTGGAGTTCTAGTTCACCTACATCCAGAGAACACTGTGGCCACAAACAATGATAGATCTGGACCAAACTTGGCACAAATACTCGATATGCCCAAATGTGAACACTGGTGGAGTTTGGGCAAAATAGACCTTGACATTTGGGACTTGTAGTTGCTGGGATTTATAATTCACCTACTATCAAAGAGCATTCTGAACCCCACCAATGATAGAATTGGGCCAAACTTCCCACACAGAACCCCCATGCCTTGAAGGGACTTGCTGGCACAAGCCTCCCTCCAACCTCGCACTCTCTCCCTTGCCCACACATGTGCACCACATTGCCATGTGCCAAGCACGCCTGTTCTCCCCTCCACACTTGGAGTTTCAGAAACAGCTCTCCCCTTGGCCGAGAGGCCAGCCAATCACAGCAGAGGAGGATTTTTGTTGGGAGGATTTCTCATCTGTTTCTAAAAAGGAAGAGAAGGACAAGCGGAGAGATCTCTGCCAAAGGGGTTCCTAAGACCACCAGAAATATATGTATCTGATCATCTTTGGTGACCAATCTGAAACCCACTCGTGACCCCCCCCCCCAGGGGTCCTGACCCCCCAGGTTGAGAAATGCTGAACTAAGAGAATCCTGTTTGGGGTTGGGACCCATAGATTAAGAAACAGCGGGTCTATTGAATTGCAAAGTGTTGCGTGGATTTCAACAAAAGTCTCTGCACTGTTTAGCACTGCAACAGAGGTGGGAATGGCATTCCAGATATTTTTGCTGGCAATTTCCATCAGACCCAGCAAGGGCTACAGTGAGGAATGATGTAAGTTGCAGTCCAAGAACACTGGAAGACCACAGTTTCGACCCTGCTATAATCAGGGCACTACACTGCCTTGCTAATGTGAAAATACTTAGAAATACTCTTGCATTTGATGAGGACAATTATCTTGCTCACTCTTTATTCAGTTTATTCAACAAAATTCAGCATGCATATATTTTATGTAAAAGAACTACTTAAAGCTGATGTCAAATTGACTGAAAATTGAATTGAATTTTCAATTCAAAAGGAGAAGAAAAAACCTTCCTCAAAAATAATTGCATTGATCTTTCTTTTCCCGTTGAATCTAATTGCATTAAGGGCTTCAAATTGCTGCTTCGGTAGTCAAAAAAGCTACATTAAAGAATTAAAAACTAAAATCTGAGCAGTGCATTTTGTCCGAGATCACATAACACAAGGCCCTTGCCTGAAAGTGCAAAGCTTCTGGGAATGTTGACATTTAATAATTTCCCCAGAGAAAAAGAAAAGCGCATAATTGAAAACACTAATAAGCTTTTCAGTGTTCACTTACCACCGACTCCATATCTTTCAGAGTTATTGGTTTCCCCAGCATCATCTTGTAAAAAGGTCTAATGAAGAAACCTGGGAACAAAATACCGTAACAAAGTTTAATTAAAAATGGCTGCCTTCCATAGGAGAAATATAACGAGGAAAGGACACCGGCAAAGTTAAAATTGTGGCTATTAAGAGGGAAAAGTGACAGTAGACTATGAAGCCACATTTTAAAACTGACACTGCCTGCAGTCATCACAGAAATGTAATAATATACCTAAGTGCAAGTGTAGGACAATTCACCGAAATTACCAACCTATTGAGCCCTGATGGAAATCAAGAACTACTATGCCCAAGCTCTCATTATGCTAATAGTCAGGAAGTGTCTGGTTTAAAAGTGATGTTGGTCCTGAAACTGAATCACTTTCATTACTTCTGTCAGACTCTTCGCACCATGCAGACATCATACTGATTTTCTTAAATTGGCCTTCCAAGATTGCTCTTCAACTGTAAACAATACTCACTAAGAGATGTTCATTGTGTCGTCAAAGGCTTTCATGGCCGGAATCACTGGGTTGTTGTAAGTTTTCCGGGCTGTATGGCCATGTTCCAGAAGCATTCTCTCCTGCCCACATCAATGGCAGGCATCCTCAGAAGTTGTGAGGTCTCTTGGAAATTAGGCAAGTGGGATTTATATATCTGTGGAGTGTCCCTCACCCTGGACATCCCACAAATATATAAACCTCACTTCTCACGTCTACATAGGGACCACCAAATGCAGCACTGCCCAAACACGAATCAAGGAACATGAAAGGCAGTGACGACTGCTTCAACCAGAGAAGTCAGCCATAGCAGAGCACCTGATGAACCAACCTGGACACAGCATATTATTTGAGACTACCATGTCAGACTACTCAGAGAAGCCATTGTCTACAAGCATGTGGACAATTTCAACAGAAAGAAAGAAACCATGAAAATGAACAAAATCTGGCTACCAGTATTTTAAAAAACTCTAAATAAAGAATTAAACTCAAACATAGGGGAACTCCAGGCAAGAAATAATCAGGAATACCTAATCACCGCTCAAGAAAAGATTCTCCCAGGCAGTAACAAACCACACTTAAAAACTGCCAGGCCATCAAATGCTAATCAAGGTGGCCAATTGAAACATTCACACCTAGCTCCAACAGACAAGAGTTCTTTCTCCCACCCTGGACATTATCACGGGGTGTCTGCGCCCTACACCACTGGAGAAATTACACTGTTTAGCCAGTATTGTACCACCTGACATCCACCGGGAAGTAGCAGCCAATAGTGAAAGGACCAAGGCAGTGACATCTCCAGCTCATCCCCTGTTTGGTTATCAGCCAGCACGTCAATGACTTAAATCAAGAAATAGTTTTCTGAGATCTACAAAGACACTCGCTGGAACACCTCAGCAAGCAAGAGTCCAAAAGTGGCAGGCTCAAACCCAGAACCTCAACCAATGGCTGATACCAAATGAGAGACTCCCCCCTGGGCACACAGAAAACTGGGCAACTTGGAAGGCGCTGAACAGACTGCGCTCTGGCACCACGAGATGCAGAGCCAATCTTAAGAAATGGGGCTACAAAGTGGAATCCACGACATGCGAGTGTGGAGAAGAGCAAACTACAGATCTCCTGCTGCAATGCAACCTGAGCCCTGCTACATGCACAATGGAGGACCTCCTTGCGGCAAGACCAGAGGCACTCCAAGTGGCCAGATATTGGTCAAAAGACATTTAATCAACTACCAAGCTTGCAAACTTTGTGTTTTGTCTGTTTGTTTGTTTGTTTAAAAATGTAATGCAACTGTTTGGTCTGCTCCTGACACAATAAATAAATAAATGCTACCAAACTACATTAATTCTACGTGTAGATCAGGCATGGGCAAACTTCGACCGTCCAGGTGCTTTGGACTTCAACTCCCATAATTCCTAACAGCCAACAGGACGTTAGGCATTGTAGGAGTTGAAGTCCAAAACAACTGGTGGGCCAAAGCTTGTGTCTGGTGTAGATGCAACCAGAAGTAGTCTAAAACAGAAGCCAACAATTCCCAATTCTTTGTCATTCTAACTAGTCATTAAAAAAGGAAATTATTGTGCTTTCCTCCAAGTTAGCTAGAAGCAAGTGAAGTCCCTTCAAGTTTTAATGAGGATAACATTCTAGACTTTCAAAGGAAATTGGTGATTTAATTTCAGTTCCCTGAATTCCTCTGTTCAGACCTTTAAAATACCGTTTTATTGATCACTGTTCAGCAGTCCCTTACATTATTCACCACACTCCTCCACTAAGTTACACAGGCTAGCTTACAAAGAGATTTCTACTCAGAGCCATGACCTTAAACTTTAGAATAAAAAGGCATAAAGGGGTCCATTAATGCCCTTGAGATGAACTGGGAAGAAGGAATTTCAGTCCATTTCATCAGATGTTTTTTAACCTATCGCTACAAGATAATAGTGACATGATCTGGTCCCAGGAAAACCTCTTGAAGTTTAATTAGGGTTTTGGCATGACCTCCAAATTGACTACCCATAGTTTCCAAACCCATGACAGTCAGAATGGTTTGTACATGTGGTACAGCATTAATGTCTGAAGATGACAAAACCATGGGAACATCACTGAATAAGGATAAGATTTAAATAATTAAGCATTAATGAACTATGATCTGCCTGATGGTTTGTAAGAAGAAGCATGGTTTATATTCTAACCTATAAAGTTAGTATGAAGAAATTAGTTAATTGACTCCTGGTGGCACAGCAGGTTAAACCACTGAGCTACTGAACTTGCTGACTGAAAGGTCGGCAATTTGAATCCAGGGCACAGGTTAAGCTCCTGTTGTCAGCCCCAGCTTCTACCAACCTAGTAGTTTGAAAACATGCAAATGTGAGCATTTATTTATTTAGACATTTTGTATCTTGTTCTTCTCTACCTCCGTAGTAGGACTCTGAGCAACTAACAGCAAATATAATAAATAATGTCATAAAACAACATATAATAAATAAGTTCTAAAATACATATAAAACAATTCATCACGTAAAAAACAACATTCAACTCAGTCCAAAACATTGTGGCCAAATAACTCTTAGTCTATATCGAATCCTCCATCAATCTGCAAATGCCTGACTCTAAAGCCAGGATTTTACCTGCTTCCTGAAGGACAGGAGAGGGGGCAGACCTAATCTCACCGGGGAGAGAGTTCCACAGCTGGGGGGCCACCACAGAGAAGGCCCTGTCTCTTGACCCCACCAAACGCGCCTGCGAAGGTGGTGGGACCAAGAGCAGGGCCTTAAAGTCCTTGATGGTTTATAGGGGAAGATACGTTCGGACAGATAAACTGAGCCAGAGCTGTGCGGGATTTTGTAGGTTAAAACCAGCAGTTTGAATTGTGCTCGGAAGCTAATTGGCAGCCAGTGGAGCTGGTGTAACAGGGGAGCTGTGCGCTCCCTGTACCCTGCCTACTGTGAGCAACCTGGATGGATAGTTGGAACTTCCGAACAGTCTTCAAAGGCAACCCCACATAGAGTGTGTTGCAGTAGTCTATATGGAGTGTAACCAGAGCGTGGGCCACTGTGGTGAAGTCAAACTTCCCAAGGTACGGGTGCAGCTGGCACACAAGTTTTAACTGTGCAAAAGGTCCCCTGGCCACCGCCGAAACCTGGGGTTTCAGGCTCAGTGATGAGTCATGGATCACTCCCAAGCTGCGAACCTGCGCCTTCAGGGGGAGTGTAACCCCATCAAGCACAGGTTGTAACCTTATACCTGTTCGGCCCCTGCGACTGACCAGGATAACTTTGTCTGGATTAAGTTTCAATTTGTTCGCTCTCATCCAGTCTGTTACAGCTGCCAAGCACGGGTTCAGGACTTAGTGGTTCAATAGTACCACTCCAATGGGAAGGTAACAGCGCTCAGTGCAGCCATGCCAGCCATGTAACTTTGGAGTGCTTCATCCAGATAGAGGACGTCTGAGTTCAAGTCCTTTTGTAGTTACAGAGTTCACTAATTGCCTTGGGCAAGTCAGTATCTTAACTTAATCAATTTCACAGGATTGTTGTGAGACTATAATTTATCTCAATTCACCAGTAAAGGGATTGCTTTCTCACTAATTACATTATTTCTGAAACGTACTTTCCTTGAAATGTAATACTTTTATGAACATGTGTTAAATACAAGGCCTGAGGGCCAAATCTGGCCCTCCGTGTCATTTTATGTGGCCCATTACCCAGTCTTACAATTACAAATTGCCCTTTGAAAGCAACCATAAGACTGCTATGGCCCCTGATGAAAATGCCTTTTAACACCCCTTTCTACCTTATTTGTAACTTGCCAGTTTTAGCTCTGTTCAAAAAGGTCTACTTCATCCATTCAATGTTACTGTATAAGCACAGCGACTTCTAAGCAAAGGGAAAACTCACCATCTAAAAGCTTTCCATGGTACACTGCCAGCCCAGCAACTCGCCCAATGAAGGTGAAGTAAGATAAATGGTCTTCATTACAAAGGCCCGAATTTGGATTGATCTGCAGAGTGTAGTTGTCCCTTATTTGGAAAAAAAGAAATAAAAGAAAATTGAAAGAACTGGAGATGGGCATGATGTATATATGGATTTCAACTTTTGTCAAGCAACACAATATTCATTCACCTATTTGATTTTTAGTCTGCCTTCTTTCCTTCAAAGCTAGGATGCAATATTACATTTCAGGCTGTTAACTAATCTTTTCAAGAGGCTGAACCCCATTACTTTTTAACATCAAAATAATGAACAAACATACACAAAATTCACTGGTGGCTATAAATAAGTGAAATTTCTGTTCACTTCTAATATTGTTTATAGTAGTTGCTAAGGCTGGAAACCAGCCCTGAACTCACTGCAATTGCCCACCCTTGCCCTATAAACAGCAAGCTAGTGGGAAGAAAGGAAAAAAAGGTGTATTGTCAAAGGCTTTCATGGCCGGAATCACTGGGTTGTTGTGAGGTTTTCAGGCTGTATGGCCATGTTCCAGAAGCATTCTTGCCTTTGGAGAGTGACCATTTATCCCATTTCTGTTTGTTCCATCTACAGTGTTACCCCTATGGTGCACTTTCCCCCATCCTAAACTGGAAGCCTAACCCCACTGTTCATCCTTTTTGGGCTCCTCTCAATTACACTTTTTCTATTCTTACCTCATCCAGGGTTTTATCATTTTACCTCGTCCATTTGGCCTGCCCATTGTGTTCAAATTTATATTATGTCAGTTTGCTTTATTTATTTTATTTTGCTATCGTATGTATTTTATTCTGATGTAATTTTTGTTTGTCTGCATTTTGTATTTTATTTTGCTGTATTGTATCTTTGGGCTTGGCCTCTTGTTAGCCGCCCCGAGTCCCCGTCAAGGAGATGGTGGTGGGGTATAAATAAATATTATTATTATTATTATTATTATTATTATTATTATTATTATTATTTGAAACACAACATGATGAGTCCACAGCAGACACTCTGCTGGCTGTTGAATTGGCTCACATGTCGGACACTTCCTAAGTGTCTAGGACTGTGTGATATATTGGCGAATAATGAGTGCAGATCCCAGTAAGGTGGCCTTCTGCAGCTGGAAGATGGTAATTTTGTCAGTGCTGATTGTGTTTAAGTGCAGGCCAAGGTCTTCAGGCACTGCACCCAGTGTGCCGATCACGACTGGGACCACCTTTACTGGCTTGTGCCAGAGTCTTTGCAGTTCTAACTTTAAATCCTCATATCGTGTCAGCTTTTCCTGTTGTTTCTCTGTAATCCTGCTGGAATTGTGACATCAACGATCCTTATTTTGTTTTTTAACACAATTGTGAGGTCAGGAGTGTTGTGCTCCAGAACTCTGTCTGAATTCAGAAGTCTCAGAGGAGTTTGGCGTGTTCATTCTCTGTAACTTTTTCCAGCTTGTGATCCCACCAGTTCTTTGTCGCAGGCAGATGGTATTTGTGGCACAAGTTCCAATGAGCAACGGTGTTATGCCTCTGCTTGTAGTCTGTTTGCGCGATCTTTTTACAGCAGCTGAGGATGTGATCTGTTGTTTCATCTGCTTCCTTGCAGAGTCTACATTTGGGATCTGTTGTCAACTTTTCAATTCTGGCTTTGATGGCATTGGTTTCGAATGGCTTGTTCTTGTGCTGCCAGAATTATTATTATTATTATTATTATTATTATTATTATTATTATTATTTCTTCTGATGTTTCATAACAGACCTCACAACCTCTGAGGATGCTTGCCATAGATGTGGGTGAAACGTCATAAGAGAATGCTTCCGGAACATGGCCATACAGTCCAGAAAACGCACAGCAATCTAGTGATTCCAGCCATGAAAGCCTTTGACAACACAACTGGATTTCTCTTTTTCATTTGGAACAAGGTAAGCAATCTTCTAGCTGGAGAGGCATTTATTTATCTCTAGAACATTACAGCAAATTGTTTCCATTTTCTGCAACAGGAATATCATAATAACAGTAACTGTCATTCGGTGCTAATTGTGGCTTCAAAGTGCAATTAAGCACTGCATTAGAGCTGTAGCTTTAACAACAAACCACAAAAAGCACTTCCTTTTTTTAAACATGGAATGGATGTGTGAAGCATTTTCAGGCACAGTTCCTTAACTGTGGGTAATGGCCTCAAACATGAATTCCCAAATTTCAAAAGCAGCTCGGAGGCTACACTCAACTACATTTACTAGTAATTTTTAGTTGCCTTTTAATGCCGTGGTGGGATTATTATTGTTATTGTTGTTTGCTCTCATATTATTTCTGATAAGGTGAACCGATCTTGGGGATTTCTTAGTAAACTTTGTTCAGAGAGTTTGCTATTGCTTTTTTCTGAGGTTGAGAGAGTGTAACTTGCATAAGCCAAACTTCATGACTAAGCATGGTTTTAAACCCTGATTTCCAAGGATGCTAAGGATTATTACTGAACTTTAAATCAGATATGAATAGTACTTCCAATCTGGATATTATGATAAAGGATAGAGGAAGGGTGTTAATTAAAGACTGACATTCATTTTTACCTGCCAAGATATTGACAAGCAATTGATCAGAAGATTTTAACTTAATGGCCAATATATGATTTGGACTGTCTTTCATATGGGAAGCTATCCTCAGGACACCAATGCAAAATGTCTTATGGTGAAGCCCTGAGAAGCAATAGGCCAACATGTTTCATTCTTATCTTTGTTAGGTGCTGTTTTTATTTGTTTCTGTGATAGGAAATCAGCACAGGACTGAAAAGGGTAATTATTTAATTATCCCTTTTGTCAGGTAAACTTTCCACAGTGCTGAACACCTATAAAAGAAAAGTAATATGGGTACTGACACCAAGCAGTGCCAGTAAATAAACAGATCAGTCTTTTAAGGGACCTGTTGCAGTTAACTATTAGGTAAAAAGTGGAATGAATTGGATTAGAATAATGTCATGTGCCCCCAGGAGAGGGGCAGTAATAATTAAGGTTCCTTTCTGTGGTTTTTGTAAAAGGCAGTTACAAATTGACAGAAATGTAATTTACTGCTAATGTTCAGGTCTTATTGAAAAGGCAGAATAATATGAAAAACCTGATTAGAAACAGCACCTGTGGGAAAACTGGGTCACGGGTGCATAATTACCAATCTAAAGCAATGCTCTGAACATAATCAATGGAATTATATAGTTCAAAACTACAGCAGGCCCTCCACTTTCACTGGGGTTGGGGTTCAGGGTCCCCATGAACATGGAGAAAAAAACCTCCAGAATTCCGTTTTTTACCTAAAAGAAAATGTCTCTAGAAATCTCTAAGTCCTCCAGCAAAACTTTAAATGTTGACTATAGAGCAGTCATGGGCAAACTTCGTCCCTCCAGGTGTTTTGGGAGTTGAAGTCCAAAACACCTGGAGGGACGAAGTTTGACCATGCCTGTCATACAGCCATGCTGGAGAACCTAGAGATTCCTAGGTAAAACATGTTAATCAAATCTGCAGAAGTTAAACTTGCAAATGTAGATGGCCAACTGTAATTTCAATACAATGATGTTAAAGATCATGGAAGTGAAAGAAAAACTTCATGGGCTGGGTTGTTGTAGGTTTTTCGGGCTGTATGACCATGTTCTAGAAATATTGTACATGGGTTATTTTATGACTTAGCATTATGACAGATATATGTGTACATGCATTTGAATGCATGCTTATGAAACATAGAAATCTCTGTTTAAATACTCAAATGAACATTTCCCTCATGATTTTTTTTCCAAGTCTCTCCTTTCATAATCTGAGCCATCACTTGAAACAAATTTTCTCCAGGACATACTTTGATAAAAGGGTATTTTCACTTATGTCCCATCTACAATATCTTATAATCCAATTTCTGAATCTGGATTATCTGCTTTGAACTGGGTTATATGAGTCTAGACTGCCATATAATTTGGTTCAAAGCAAATTCTCTGTCTTATATGGCAGTGTAACTCTGGCCTTAAGGAATGCTTTCCTCACACCTATTCATAATTTTGTGTGTGCTGGGAGGAATGACACTAGTTTAAGATATTTCGTTTCTCCAAGGAAAATGTAACTGTCCAGTTTTAGTATTAGCATTATGTCAAGTGATTATGTGTATAATATGTCCTAGTGGATGGGAGATATCATTTAACATTACAATAAAATATTGACCATTATTGCATATTATATATGCAATGGGGGGTTTTTGTTCCAAATTTATATTCACATTTGGTATATTAAAAGAAGGAAATAAGTCATGAAACCTCTTTAGCTGCTTTTGGGTGAAATGACAGATGTACCCATCAGCAAATAAAATGCTGTTTAAGGCTTCAGTTTTTGTTCTCCTTCTTCAAACATTTGAGTAGAGCTGCCCACCGGTCCTCTTTTAAAAGTATGATTCTCAATTAATTTTTTGAACGCTTTGAGTCCCCTAGGGGTGAGAAAAGCAGTATATAAATACTGTAAATAAATAATAATAAATAAATGTTGGCATCTGTCTATGCCTTCTCTCTGCAAAGCTGTCTTTCAAGGTTCGGTTTGAATATCAAATGCCACTTTAGTATGATTCCTCCTCTAATACTGCTCCATTAGTACTCTATGCCCGTTTTTGGTCTAAAATTATGTAGCTGCCTGTGCTCCCTTTATTTTATTTTATACTAATTTATTTATGCAATGCTCTTGACATGAAATAAATAAATAAATACACCATGACAAATTACAAAGAGGAACCCAGTAAGAACTTCTGGCCTTCAACTGAAAGGAAAGGAAAAACTTTCCAGCAAGCCAAGTCTAGATGACTCAATCTAAATGTGCACACAACGATCTAGAGAAGCCATGGGAGACTGGCTACTAGCAACATTTCCAGGTAAAATTAATTGGGAAAAGTATGGTAAGATATATAATTTCTGAATCCAAACCAACAAAATATGAAAAAAGAAACCCAAGTGAGTCTTTGATCATACTTACGTTGCTGAATACTCGAAGAGGCCATAATAAGGGTTGAACATTTCTTTGGACAACAAGAAGAACCATTCCCTGGCGACACCTCCGTAGTCAAGGCCCTTTTCGGATTCAAACTCTATCCACAGCCTGGCTTTTAATACATCCGGTCTCTTCACTGACATGATTCTTCTATACGATTCTTCGAAAATATTATTTCTGTGAAGTTTCATCTCAAATCTGTTTGGTATATCAGCCTTTGTGGAAAGAAGAGTATTTTCATTCATTGGTGATTAAACTTTAGCTTTGTTTCTCAATGAGAAGTTCAGCTGAGGGTTTAAATCAGGCAAAATCTCCTTCTATATGATAAAACAAATCATGAAACACCTAAATTTCTCCAGTTGATCAATAGGCCAGCTTTGTAGCAGATGCCTGAAAATTCATTATAAACACTGTTTTGTGAAAGGAGTGTCCGCAAAATATCTTAATGTCTTGTTCACATGACAAATGATAATTCCAAATGTGTTTGTTTCTGTAGTTATCATAGACCAGCATACAATTAATTTGGTAAATTATTCATTACTCCTATGGCCATTTGGCAAATATCCAATATATGCTTAAAATAAGGAAGAAAGTTAGCTTTTGAGCAGTCAGGATACATCAGCCCATGCTACTTAATGGTGTATCATAACAAAATCAGAGCTCAAAAACCTCTTCTGTTCCAGTCTCCTGATCTGGACCAAACCAGAGACCCCTACATTTAAATATGTGACACTGTTAAGCATAACATGATGAATGAAAAATAAAGGCAGTTAAATCTGTATTGGATTATACATGAAAAGCGTGATCTAGTTATTCTGTGCAGGTTCTGAAGCTCAAATGTTAATCTTCTAGGTTCAAACACCTTTCTGATTCATTTTAATCAAAGAGAAAAATGCACGCAGACACATGCAGGAATGCTAGCCTTAGTCCTTTTATAAGAGAGTCTGGAGGCTTGCCTGCACATTCTGTAGAACCAGTCCCGATTATGACTTTGAGTGCCATAAATGGGCAGTTATTTGTTAAATTGCTTGAGTGATTAATGTTGCATTTTTACTGCTATCTGTAAAATGAAAAGGACCTTAGGGGAATATTCTGCCTGCGATACCAACATAAGTTAGCTGGCCTTAGATCCAAAGTATTGTGACGTAAGGAAGGGTCTCAGGTCACAAAAGGTCTTGAGTCTGCCCCTGACTGAAATGCACACATGAGCAAATGAACCAAGACACTGAAAAGCTCTGTGCAGTGACACAAACAAAGCAACATAAGATCACATGGCAGATTTCCTACTCAATTACCTTTTCCCCATCTGAAGAAAATTAGTTTGGGCACATAATATCCAATTACTTACTGGTTTCTTTAATTTCTTCCTGAAGTAGTCATATTTCTGTTTGAATTCTCTGGAATATGGAACAGCCTAGAAGACATGAGAATACTATTGTTAACACAAAGCTTTAGAGGACTGACCATTAGGAAGAACTTTCTAACTGTGAGAGCTGTTCAAGCAGTGGAACTCTCTGCCTTGGAGTGTGGTGGAGGCTCCTTCTTTGGAGGCTTGTAAACAGAGGCTGGCTGGCCATCTGTTGGGGGTGCTCTGAATGTGATTTTCCTGCTTCTTAGCAGGGGGTTGGACTGGATGGCCCACAAGATCTCTTCCAACTCTATGATTCTATGACTAGGGAAGACACCCTTGCTTCCACCACAATGTTTCCCAATTCATTCAGCATAGAAACAGTCACGTGGCTGTGGCTCATCTCTATAGCCCAACCCATCATTCCAGGAGAATTCCTTTCCTTTAAACTCTTGCTGCCTACTGTTACCTTTTTTACTCATTATGCATAATTATCATATTATGGTCATGATATTAATTACATATTATAATAATTATACTTGATCATCCTATCATGAGCATCATACCTGTTGTATTATGTAAGTAATTATAACCTAGAAAAAGCATTTGCAGACTTTGAAACAAATACAACATTTGGGAGGCGGTGACAGAGTTTGTATTTCTAGGTGCAAAGTTTACTGCAGATGCAGACTGCAAGTAGGAAATCAGAAGACGTTTACTTTTTGGGAGGAGAGCAATGACCAATCTTGATAAAATAGTGAAGAGTAGAGACAGCACACTGGCAACAAAGATCCACATAATGAAAGCAATGGTATCCCCCATAGTGACCTATGGATTTGAGAGGTGGACCATAAGGAAGGGTGAGTGAAAGAAGATAAGATGCTTTTGAACTGTGGTGTTGGAGGAAAATTCTGAGAGTGCCTTGGACCACAAGAAGATCAAACCAGTCCATACTTCAGGAAATAAAGCCCAACTGCTCACTGGAGGGAAGGATATTAGAGGCAAAGTTGAAGTACTTTGGCTACGTCATGACAAGAAAGGAAAGCTATAGAAGATAATGATACTGTGGAAAATGGAAAGAAAAGGAAGAGGGGCCAACCAAAGGCAAGATGGATGGATGGGATCCTTGAAGTGACTGGCTTGACTCTGAAGGAGCTGGGTGTGATGACGGTCGGAAGGGAGCTCTGGTGTGGGCTGGTCCATGAGGTCATGAAGAGTCGAAAGCGACTGAACAAATAAACAAACACCAAATCACAATATCATGTGTCTGAGGAATTCCAGATAGCCAATTCAGGGCCTCAGAAGAGTTGGGTTTGGTCCCAGGGCCAAGGATCCCTACTCGCCTTTGATGTTAGTTAGTGATTGTCCCAAGGCTAATGACCACAATGTTATCCAATGAGAGTCAAATCTGTAACTCCTATATAATCCTTACAGCCCCTCAAGGCACCACAATATTAGTAAGTTGGAGAAACAGAAGTCATGTTGGTCAAATTCCTGATCAGCATATTTGTAAAACGACCCATAGCACTAAAACGTATTTACCAGATGAGTTACAAAACGTTAAAGCAGATGATCAGGATATTGGAATGGTTCCTAATTTACCATCTCTTGTATGAATCATTAAACAAAGTGGAGACTGCACTAAAAAAATTCAGAAATTGACTAGGATTTGGAAGGGCAGCTATAAAAGAACCAGACATGGTCCTGAAGAGTAAAGATATATCACTGGGTACTAAAGCTGGTATTTGCCACTGTATTTTCAATTTGAATGTGTGGCTGTGAAAGCTAGGCAGGGAAAACAGCCAATAGGAAGAAAATCAATTCATTTGAGATGTGGTACCATACTACGGACTCTTAAAATGAAATATGAATTACTCCAAGAGCAAACCATCAGGAGTTTCCCTAGAAATCTAAATGACTATACTATCGTACTTTGGGCCTGTCATGAGAAGACAGGACTTACTAGAAAAGATTATAATGGTTGGTGAAGTGGAGGGAAGTGGGAAAAGAGGAAGACTACATTCCAGATGGAAATAATCAATAGGTGAAGCCATGGATCTGTGTAAGATCTCAGAAGGGCTGTTGAGGTGACTTGGAGGTCTCTCATCCATAGAGTCACCCTATGTCGAAGTCAATTTGAAGGCAGTTAATAACAACCAACTGACTGCGCCATACTGTCCCAAAGCCAAGTTCTGTACTCTGATGTGCAGGAGTCTATTCTGTACATTTCAAATGTCAAAACAAAGAGATAGCAATATTTTTCCTCTCATGGAGATGAGTTTTGAATATCTGGAATTGCCAGTGTGTGGGCATGAACTGTAAGATGAGTTTTGAGTATCTGGAATTGCCTGTGTGGGGGTGTAAGCTGTAAGGCTCACATGTATCTGTTAGGCTGTTATTTTGTGGAAATTGTGAGCCATAAAAAAGAAAAGCGCAAAATCTCACACATTCTCAGGTGTAGAGAGGAGGTTGGGATTTCGAACCCTCCAGATTTTGTTGCATTCCAGCTCCCATTAGCCCAAAGCAGTTTGTTGCAAGTTGTAAACCAGTAGCTTGCACATCCTTGCTTTAGATCAAGATTGAAGGGAACAGTATGTTATATGGACATATGTTATATGTTTCTAACATGTGTTGGCTGGGCTTGTTGTGTTTTAGGATTCTCGAAATTGTTGTCCAAAAGGCAATGTTCCCAATGCCCTAGCGTTGTCAATACCATGCTGGCTAAAAGATTCTGGGAGCTGTATTTTAAAATGTAAATTCTCCTAACTCTTTTTATAACAAAATATACACACAGCAATGTATTCTTCATCACAACTTCTAATGGCAAAATAAGTGGTCTCATTTATAAAGTATGGCAAATTGTGGCCTTTGCACCTTTACTGTGATATAATGAGCGTTGGGTGGGTTAATAGCACAGTATATCTTGCTGTCTTGGTTTTTTCCCCAACTAAGGTTTAAAAAACATCTGAGGAAAAGTCATTAGCTTGTAAAAGGAATCTGCCTGACATAGCTCAAAGGAGCAGAAGGTAACACAGATGAAAATAGGTTGCTGGCACGCAACATCTAGAAGCATCCACGTGCTTCCCAATGCAGATGGCACACCTTGATAAGAAGTTCACACCCCAAAAGATGACACTTTGAACTCTCTGTGTTGTGTCTTATACAGGAGGTCTTGAGCCAACAGATATTAATGTGATGTGCATCATCTCCCCCATAATATATCAACTGAAATCATAACCAGATCTGAATACTCTGTGACAGTTTATCTATAGTCTCTATTTTAGCCCAGGCTATGCCCTTGTTTGTCTTCAAGTAATTTCTGGAGACCATAAGGTGACCCTATCGCAGGATGTTCTTGGTGGGATTTATTCAGAGAAGGGTAGACTTTGCTTTCTCGGAGGTTGAAAAAATGTGAAACCCAAGGTCACCATTGGGTTTCAATGGCTGAGCAGGGATTGTGGGGTACGCAAACCACAAAATACCCTAAAGTAACCAAATTTGGTCTGATCTTGGAAGTTAAGCAGGGTCAGTTCTAATAAGAACTTGGATGGAAGACTACCAACAAATACCAGATGCTATAGACTGTATTTTAGAGGAAGGAACTGAAAAAAAACCCCACACCTCTGGGTATTTTTTGCCTAAGAAATTTACGGGGCCACCATAAATGGACAGGCAAACTGAAGGTATTCATACCCACATCCTCCTAATCCCTAGTAAAGTATACCTCTGGTTCTCGATGCTATTCTTTTCAGCATTATTCTTTTCATAGGAAGCCAAGGCTTGTGCAAGGCTAGTTTGCCTGAAGAGGATTTTACACCCTTGGCTTCCTTGTTGACAATTTAGTCTCTTATCTAGTATTCTACATTGCTCACCTAGGCTTATAAGAAGGATTTGCTAACGGATGCCAGTGAAATCTTGGGTGATGGAAAGCAGCAATGGACCTAATCCTCACTATTATATTACTGATTCAACTTATTTTCCTTCCTTTTATCTTGAACCTGCTGCTATGGAAAGAATTTGACCCCCAAAACCATAAGCAGAGAATGAGAAAAAAAATACTTGGAATGTTAAGAAGTACTTAGCAATGGACCGTGGATATATCCCTCAAGGCAAGTAGCAATGCTGTATTGCCCACACATATATCAAAATGAAACACAACAGCCTTGTCCCAAGAGAATTCATAAAGTATACACAATACTTACTGGACCAGTAATAGCAGGATTTTGCAATCTGGGATCTTCCCACTGGGTAATTTTATTATCTGGAAGTTAAACAAGAGAACGTATTAATTCTTTCCTTTTATACATTTTGTACATCCAGGTTTTGATTAAACACACACACACTTTCATCTTCTACTTTTTTGCTTATCTAATTATAACTAAGCCTTTCAAAGCGGTGTTGGGGGAATTATGTAACCACCATACATTACAATGCTCCTCCATCGCATAGTTTAATGGACGAAGTCTACTCATAAACACAGACACCATGTACATTCTAGCAAAATGTATCGTTAATGATCTTTACAGTACTGATTACACAAATTATAAAACTCCTTTTTTAAGGATTTAGAATTTGTGTCAATCTTTGATTGGATACACAAAAACATGGGCTGATGCAAACTGCTGCAAACACTAAATTAGCTACACAACAGGATTGGAGTATACTAACTCTTGGGGAGAATGGTGGGTGAAAAAGCGGGCTTCACATTTTTTTCCCCAAGCCAAATCAGAGGCATAAATCACACATTTTCCTGAAACTTCATAAATCTCATAACATAGTTTTCTTTTTATCATAGAAAATAGACATGCCCATCATGAAAGAAATTTGGCAGCAAGCTAATAGCCCAGAATTACTATGCTTTGGAAGTTTCTGGAGCTCTGGAACGTTCTCAGGACCCAGCGCTGGTGCTACCCTCATCCTGCCCATTCTTCTCACTGGCATCTAGTACTCTGACCAATATGTTTATGGGCCACTGCGACAAACTAAAATGCTGTATCCTGCTTTCTAGCCCTCTGGAAAAGATTTGAGTTTGGGTGTGGAGACATTTTGTCACCTTGCCTTCTCACACTGGGAGCTGGACTCTTCCCTACCTAACTATAAGTAGCAGAGAAATCACATAAGGATATATTGGGAAGAAGGTTACTAGGGTGGAGCAACTCTGGTTTTGTCTTACTCTTCTCCAAGTAATTAAATGGACCACCACTCACTACACTTTATAAAGGAGCAATGGGAAGTAGTATTCAAATGTAAGAAATTTTTAGGGACTAAAAAAATTAAAGAACAGGTAATTATTCTAGGCTTCTTTAGAATTTATTTTCAGCATGTCACAGTGACAGTGATAAGTAGGACAGGATAGGTTTTGGGGATGATTATAGTCTTTAATAACAGATGCACAGCACAAGGAAATCTTGTGCTCTTCAAAAATAACACATCTCTTGGTAGCACAGACAAAACAATCAGAGCTTGGGAAAGTTGATTCTTTGCATTAAAGCTTCATGAATACCCACAAAAGGTAACATTCCCAAGCCCTGAAAAAAGTTGGAAGGGGAACCATAGGATGAGTTAACAATGAATAATAATAATAATAATAATAATAATAATAATAATAATAATAATTTATTTGTAGCCCATCTTATCTCCCCGAGGGGACTCAGGGTAGCTTCCACCATAATAAAGGCAAACATTCAATGCCTATATAAAACAGAAGTAAAAATATCAGCTACAGAAACACCTCATCGTTCGTAGTAGAACTGGTCATCCTTGATGTATTATTACTCCCATCATTCCTCAACACTGGTCAAGCTGCCTGGAGCTGCCTGGAAATGGGGACCAGCAACTGCTGGAGGTCCAGGGGCACCTAAGCCCCACAATGATGTGGATTTGTCACAGTCAATGTGTGTTATAATAACATAATTTTGCAATAGAATGGGGTAGCAATGCCACAGTACAATAGCACAAACAGATTTGTGGATTATGAAAGGGTGGGCAAGGTAACATCTACGAAATAGATATCTTCATTAACCTTCAGATTTCTATCAAATTTGCACATGTCTGCAAATGAAAGCATATTTCATAAGCAGTTCCTAAGATAATGTGGCAGTGTTCCAGTACCAATGTAAAGGACAAAGAGTTCTCATGTTGATGTGATAGGGCCCAGATCTAGCTAATGGATTGGCATAGCCATCTGTGTCATTGTTCCAGGACTCTTTCTTCTGCCAGGCCATGGCACAGCTCTACAATGCAAGGAGCTTAACTCTAAGAGCAGAGCTGCTGCCAGATAATGGAGCTTGTTGCAGTGCATAATCTACGGTATTAAGCAACCCACTGGTTTTAAGAATTTTCTAAATCAGTGGTTCTCAACCTGTGGGTCCCCAGGTGTTTTGGCCTACAACTACCAAAAATCCCAGCCAGTTTACCAGCTGTTAGGATTTCTGGGAGTTGAAGGCCAAAACATCTTCGGACCCACAGGTTGAGAACCACTGCTCTAAACTATACACTGTGTGGAGCTCTTCCAAGCTTTTCCTCAGTCACATATTTAGGACCCCACTTTTCTGGCAGCAGATGAGAATCTACTAATTTTGCTGCTACTAAAACAGCATGTTAAGCTTAATAATAACAGCACACCACAGGATGAAGTATAAAAAGTATTGCGTTGTTGCAACATCATAGACTTTGACACTGATGACCAGAAGTTGTTGCACAGGATCACATTTTTAGTACTAGAACGGCAGATGTTTGGTGAAGTGAAAATATTTAAAGGAAAAGGAAGACAACCATGCCAAACAAATACAATAGAATCTGAAAATCTAACAGCTGACTTCTTTCCACATTAATCATAAATAGAAAACTGACTCCTTTCAGGTTCAGGCATTTCTTAGTTAATTCCATACAACTCATCAAACAGACCAATTTAGTTCTGAAAACAGTTCAATTCCATTCCTTATTTTATAGTCAAGATACTACATGTAATCTATTCATGCACTTGCAAGATCTGTGATCTACTCTAATCAAGCAGTTTTCAAAAATTGGACATATATGCAACTAAGGATGACTCCAATAATTAATTCTATGGGGATTTTTTTTAAAAACCCAGAGACTACAACAATAGTGTAGATATTTTAAAATGTTAATATTAAACATCACAAAACTCTGTGGTCCTAAATCTCAAGAGGATGTGAAATATATGCTTTTGAAATTAACAAAAATCACAAACACTTCTAATTGATGTACATTTTTCTCTGTTGAAACTTGATAGTCAAAACACAACAACAATCCACACACTTGTTCAGAGGTGCTGTAAATAGGACATATTTACAATGAAAACACCATTTACACTGGAACTTCAAGGAACAGAAGTGAATAGAGATTAACAGGGTGGGTGCAAAATAACATGCCGCAAATAGAAAATAAGGTCAGAACTGGCACTGCCCCAAGACCTTCTTTGAGTAATTTGGGAGTGAAGGGGAAAGAGACTATTGAGAATTTCTTCCACTGCCTACATAGACAGACTTGTGGCAACATCATATTTTTTCTCATCTTATTTTCTATTCCTAGAGTGTGCTTTCATTTATTAATAAGTGCATATAAGCCATGGGATCCATCCACAACACCAAAAGGAAAAAAAATCCAAAGAAGTTCAACAAAAACACCACAAAGAAGAAATGTTAATGCTTCACAAGATCAAATAGGGACAAAGCTTGATGAGCCAATTAAAAGCAAGCTTTTGGTGAATTATACAGTACCGTAATTGGGCACTAAGTCTCGGGTATGAATGTCGCCACATATCAACACCTGGCTTCCTAAATGAAGAGTAAAATTACAAAGCTTTCACTCCAATAATGATTACTTCCCTTCACCTACTTGCTGTAGAACCTGTGTGCCTACTTACTATGATCTATATAAAACGTTCTTCCATCCAAATGTATCCTTTCCTCCCAACCAGGCTGTAATTAAAGAACAACAAAAACAAAATCAGAGGCAGAATGTATATTTATTGCTGTATTATGCACAGATTTTTTCTACAAACATCTCACATGATACCCTATTTTGAAGCTTTAGACTAGAAACCCGCTTTTACTCCAAAACCCAATTGGATCCCTTGCACATGTTCTGTAGAAGGGAATTGATCTATGTATCCCAAAGAACTATAGGAGGAAATGTTCCCCACCCTCTCATCAATGAATATGACGATTGTAAATCTGGACACTCCTTATGGACCCAACTGATGCTTCCTTTTCCAGGATCCCAGGGCATGTGCAGAGCACCAAGGAAAGGAAATATATTTGGCACTGAGTTGGTCATCTGCGAGATGTTTGAGTAGTTCCTGCAGTGCTCTTGACTTCTATAAATACATATGTGGAAGGAGCCGGATTTCTATTTCTCTAAAATGTAAAGTAGAGAGGGAATCTTATAGCTTTCCAAATGCAAATTATAGCATTCTTCACTATTTGTCCAGGGCTGCTGAGCCTTACACTCCAACAATAATTGGAGAGCAGATGATTCCCAGCCCTGATGTGGAACCTACATTGAAAATGGCTACCTTCCGCATGTTGTGATTTTATGGAAAGGGCTAGTAGTTCAATGCTGCTTCTGCCTTCTCCAGATATGTAACCAGAATGATCCCACTTTATCCCCCAGTTCTTTTGTGTCTCATAATGGGATTCTGAAGAAAGAAGCACCAGCAAGGACCTGTTAGAAGTTTAAGCAAAACCACAGCTTGCAGGATGAAAGGAAATAAGATTTTGCTTTGCAAAAGCACCAGGCAGGCAATGTTGCCATAGCCAAAACCAAACAAGTTCAACAGAATAGAAGGGAAACAATAAAGCTATGCATGTTCAAGTATGTGGGCATGCAGTGGTTCATGGTGCTCTTGTAATAAGATATTTTCCTGACACAACAATAGGACTTGACTGATACTTTCTGAAACAACATCAACTGAGAGCAAAACCACATTTCACTTACTCTCCATTCTTTGGGAACAAATAATATCCCCACTCCCCTTTGAGTTGGCATTCAGGAGAACATGCCATAAGAAGCTCCTCTCTACTATCACCAGGGTGGGGTGGATGGGTGGGGGGTGCATGAGCAATAGATAACCTTTTGTTTTTTCCATAGAGTTACAGGTTCTTTTCACTTCCATTGGGTGCTTGTAGGAAACAGCAGCAAGACATCATTGTTGCTTTGAAAATATAGCACAGCATTCAATAGGGAATGAAAACACCCTTCTATTTGGAGTGGGTGAGTGGCTGATGGAGGAAGGCACTCCTTTAAAGTACGAAGCTGGGTGGATTTATTGAATTCAGTTTGCATTAAAATGATTTCACTTATACATTGAAGACCTCATATTCATAAGAAATGCTGGATTACAATTACTTCAAGGGCCTTCCACAGATACCAACATCTATGGATGTTAAAGCCTCATTATATAAAATGGCATCCCAATATGGGATAATTGCAAAATCTAGTTTAGCTTTTTGGAATTTCTTTTGAATATTTTCATGTTGTGGTTGAATTCATGAATGCAGAATCTAGGATACAGAGGGGCAACTAAATAAGCATGCAATAATGAACGTTCAGAGATAATGTGGACCATTGTGTTAGAATAGAACCAAACTTGGATTCCTCCTACAAGAAAGAAAACCACGTAGGAGAGAAAACAGTGTGTCTTTTATTCCCCTGTTGCAATTTTCATCTATATTTGCTTTGGCATTCCTCTGATATATAATTTTCTATCTAGATTTGTTAAACAGTGTTAGATGTAGATGTTCTGATATTCTCAGTTTACATGAATAGAATGTAACCTGACAGCCATTAATCAAATGGAGAATTAACTATGATAGAGAGGTAATTCCATTTTTATACATCTAGAAATTAAAGAAGAATCTAACATTATCCTTTGCACAGTTTATTCTCCTTCTGATTAATGGATAAAAAGATAAATTCTGTTTCAATGAAAAGTTAAAGTCAGGGTTATTACCAGTTGATGGTAACTTTAAGCACAAAATATCAGTTCTGGAGAATTTGTTCATTAGTATTAACGTTGTTCCAGATAACTTGTTTAAAGTCACGAAGATGGCTTTTTGATGGGAGATTTCGACCACCATTTTCAGATGGTAAGAAATGTGTGACTTTCTAGATGTTCTTGGACTAAGGTTCCCATCAACTGCAGATAGCATTATCAATGAAGCAAGATGAGAAGTGTATTTCAACAACATCTTGGAGGCCATAAATTCCTTCCATCCCTGCACTATGGGAAAATGGACAGTTTCAAAAATGCTGAGTGAGATGATGTGATATAGGATCTGTATCCTTGTTCCTATAATGGGAGAAGTATACCTGAAGGGTATCTTGGTTTGCCTTTTGCCATTTAAAAATAACATGTGGTCTTTCTGTAGTATATTAAAATATTCACTTCACATTTACCATCTCAGCAGATCTGACAAAAACTATACAAGACAAGTCAATGCCGTTACTTTGATGGTGCAAATGTGGCACTAAAACTGAGGGAATGGTGTGGGGTTTTCATGTATTTATAAGTTTGTGACTAGATTTTGATGAGGATTTCTTGGTTCATAGCTCATGCTCTTTATTACTACATCACTCCAGTTTTCAGTGCTCTTGAAGGTTCTCATGTCCTCGTGACAGCACAATACACATGCTGTATTTTACCTTGGAAATGTGTCAGCCATCAGTAAGGTATGGGACATAAGAAATAAGAATCAGGAAAAAGGGTAGTTGGAGAATGCCCAGAAACAATGACAATAGATTGCATACCATCCTATCTGACTAGTTGGGGAGCGGGGGAGAAACATTTGTTTTTCTGGTCAATTCAAATTTAAAGCAATATTTGAGGACTTGCATTTGTTCTCCTTCACTTCAAGGCAGTTAAAGTGGTGTGAAATTGTATAGTGTAGATCAGTGGTTCCCAACCTTTTCTGACCAGGGCCCACTTGACATGGGACCATTTTGACCAGACACCACACTCCAGGATTAGTACCAAAAGGGTTACGAATCAGTTTTTGTCAACTTTAGATACGTTTTGGTTATTTGGGGTGCTGATTCAGAAAATGGCACATCAGCTCTAGTTTCTGATACAGAACACATGCCATCCAGTAGTCACCATCTGTTCACCCACAGAAAACCATATTTAATAATCTAGAGCTGATGTGGTCTATCCAATGCATTGGTCAGCTCTGTGGAAAGGAGTAAAAATAAAATAAATAAAATAAATAAAGAGGAATGAGGTTCGCAGACCAGACTTTTGTTCTTGCGGCCTACTGCTGGGCCATGGCTCACAGGTTGGGAATCACTAGTGTAGATGGACCCTCAGAGGTAGAGCATGTGCTTTGTATGCAAAAAGTCTCAGTTTCAATCACTGAGATCTTCAAAAAGAGTCAAAGAAACTCAGTGTCTGAAAATCCAAAGAACTGCTGTTTATCACAGGAGACAGATCCTCGAGAATCTTACATAGTGCCAAACTACATAAATAGTATTTTAAAGTAAATATTATTTTAAATATTTTCAATATTAAATGTACAATTTTGTGATTTTGAGACTTATGATTTATTTATTTTAGATCATTTGTGTAATATTGTTGTTCACCCTAAGCTCTTATGAGAGTGGCTAGGAAATCAATAAATAAAACAGGTTCCTCTGTTTCTATCCCTACAGGTGCAACTTTGAGAAGATGATAAATAAATTTATTGGGACTCACAGCAGAAGGTCTGAGAATGTAATAACTACTAAAATGGATGCAAAGTGATCTTGTAGCTCCTTAGAGACTAACTTAGACAATGAAGATGGTAGCACAACTTTCATGGACTAAGTCTACTTCCTCAGATGTATCTCAGATATTTTCTCAGACTTAGTCTGTGATAATTATGTTATCAACTTCCAAAGAAGTAAGCTTAGTCATATTCTGGGGAAAGAGGCTTCATCTGAAGAAGTAGTTAACAAAAGTTTATGGTACTCTAAGTTGCTATAAGATCCATTTCCATACTGACATTCCAGACTAATACGGCTATGTTCCTATTGGAGATACTGAGCTTGATGGGCTGCAGACACAGGTGCTTTTGGGGAAAAGTGTGGGAAGCTTTCCTAAGCTCGTACGAATCTTGCTGGTACTTGAGAACTGCCAGGATTCTAGTTTTGGACAAGACTGCTTTCAACAGAAACTCGTAATGCCAGTTTGAGAGAATTAGAGAGCTTGCCCATAGCATCTCCATTTAAAACAGATCTCTTGACTAGCAAGAGCCTATATGTTAAAGCCAAAGCAGACAATGCTGGGCCAGAAAAGCTTTCCCCATAATTGTGCCCTTCTATGGTTTTGGACTGCTGCTTCCATCAGTCCAAGGAAGCACAGCTACTGAAGTGGGGCACTTAGAGTTATAATCTAACATCACCGGGGGGGGGGGGGGGGGGGGTGTCTAAGGCCAGGAAAAAAAACTGACCTCAGATAAACCCATGGACAGGATCAGTTTTATGCAGCTTTTTAATGCTTGTTGAAGGTGGCCTTCTACATGTTTGTGCCTATTTGATGTTTTGGATTGCAAAACATCAGTTTCAACCATCATAGCTAATAGAAATATGGTAGTAGAAACTTTTGCAAGGTACCAAATCAGGCATAAAGAAAGTATTTGGGGAAATCCAGAACATGGAAAACAACAATGCTGTCTTTTCTATTCTGGATAGAATGGAATGTAGCAGAATCGTTTAGTTTATGAGTTAGATCCTAGAAAACGTCTACCTCTAAGAGGGAAATATTGCATTATTCCCCACTTGAAATTCAGAGGCTTAACTTACAGATGAAAGCTAAGCCAAAAAGCAAACAACAATTTTCACAAACCTGCAAGCAGATAATACTTTATGTAATTACCCATATTCCCTAATGGCAGGTGCTATTCTTCCCTCTGATTAAAGCCTGTTTATTGCTTTTGTTTTGATAGCCGTCACCCAAAATGCAAAGCTAACGATGAACAGACTACAGTGCTTTGACCCTGAACTGTTGCTGTTTTGTTGTTGTGTATGCAGCTGCAAAATGGGTTGGCTTTACAGACAAGCAATCAAGTGTCTGGCCACTTCAAAATGCTGTTAAGAAAGCTTAGGGGAACCTGGTCCCTTTCACAGGGAAGCTTTTTAGAACTAGAAACAGAACACGTGACTACCATCACACAGATATCTGCCCATGCATGCAGTGAGCACAGAAGATGCATCTATACAAATGTGTATCACAAAGACTTACAGGGAGAGGACCCAAGTCGTTGGGGTTTAAAGCAGGTTTTGGCCGCAGGTGGACTGGGAATTTGAGCCGAGGATCTTCCTGTAACAACAAGCACGCTGCTGTAAGAACATTGCAGTATATTTCCCCAAGCAAAATGACTTCATCAATCAGTTCTTAGCATCCAGAAAGACAGCAGTTCGGCTCTTGCAGCCATGCTTTTTTTACTTTCGCCATTTAATATAAACTAGGTGTGCAACCATTTTAAAACAATGCTCTTGAAACCTATTACAACATAAACTGTACACTTTCATTACAATATACAAAGTTAATCAGCAGGTACAAAATAGGCCCAGTGTTGGGGGAGAATACAAATTAAATAAGTAAGAGGTAGTCTTAAAATTGCTCCTTGTGGCCGTTTTAAGACTACCTCTCCAGAAAATTAGCAATTGCATGGTGACCTGTTAAACTGTTGTCATTATGTGCCTTCAAGTCATTTCCAATTTATGATAACCCTAATTGAGATTTCTGAGATGAGAAGGCTCCATCTACATTGACCATTTTAAACTAGCTTCAAACTGTGGTGACCTCACAACGAAGTCCCATAAAAGTGTGTCAAATCAAGTCCTTAATGCACATCAGTGGTTCTTAGTTTGTGAAATCATCATCCGATCTTCAAACTTGAGGCTGATGGGTTCACTGATGATTTTGAGAGGATTGTGGGATTGCCTGTGGGATTTCCCAGGGCTCGAAGTGATGAAGATTCAAGTCAGGGGAATGACGCTTCTGTCCATAAAATATCTGATTCAGAAAGTGCAGGGCTTCAAGGTCAGTCAGAGGAGCCAGAAACAGCAACATTAGATAAGGAATCAGGTGAAGAACTAAGTGATACAGAAGGCTCCAGGAAAAAATACCTGGAGCTACGGAGATCAACAAAGGTCTTCATTTACAGATCAGAACAGAAAATAGGCATTGTAGGGTTGAGCATTTGCGTGGGAAAGTTGGGCAGAGAATTCATAGGAAATGCAATGTTGTCATGGTTGGCTATTAAATAGCAAGTTGTTTACTTAAGGTTTGGTTCAGGCAATGTAGCATTCAAGTGAGAAGCTGGGTCTGAGTTCTCTGTTTTTTGGTTCAAGTCAAGCCTTGCTTTTGGATTCAAGTATTCTCGGAGTTTCTATGTTCCTGTTTCTGAGGTTCCTGTTCAAGTTGTACTAAGTATACTTTTTGCTTGTGGACTGTTCTTGTGACTTTGGGTTATTCCTGGACTGTATTACCTTTGAATCTGTAAGAGACATCTGGATTCCTGTTGCATTGTCACCCATTGCCAAACCTTTTTGGATTATACATCTACTTTTTTATTCCTGATTTTTCCTATACTTTCTATGTGTTTGTACAATAAACTGTTTGCTTATATTCTGGACTCCTGTGTGGTGCTGTGGTCATAGGTGTTCCCAGGCCTGAAGTGCAACAATCATCTGCACAATGAAACTACTTTCTTCAATGCTAGTTTGAAACTACATTAAATGGTCGTGCAGATGGGAGCTTAGCCAAAGTCACACGGTAGGTTTCCAAGGCCAAGTGGAGATTCATCACTGATCTCCCAATATCCTAATCAAATCACTACACCACAAGTACCTTTCTAATTTTGGCCATTACCAATAACATCTAACTGCACTGACATTAAATTGGATTCCTTATGAAGTGTGAAGATGTAACAAAATGCACATCCCTTTTTCAATTCCTAAATATCTCGAGAAATAAGCAACCGAAGAAGGCCAGCCAAGAAAATCCTTGGAGGGGAGAGGATAAACAGACTGTATAACTATAATAATTGAAGATATGTTATTAAGCACATGAGAAATAATGGGTGAAGTATACAATATGAGCAACCCAACAGTTATTTGTCTTTACTTGGATGTCAGACAAAATGAGAACAACAAATAGATCAGGGAAAATGGCAAAACAGCACAAATTTTGTTGAACTTTGCCTAGATAAAGTCAAGGCATTACCTGTTTAGATAACATAACTCATTTGAACAGAGTGGGTTCTATACATTAATAATTCCCTCACTCCGCACATAAATGCTCAATTAAATCAGTCAGAGACATAACTACAGTACAAAATAAACTCCAAATGTACTCTACAGTTTTGGGTGTGGGGGAGCTGTCATCAGTCTTTAATACTTCTCTGAAGTATCATTTGCACTGACATATTTATCACTGGAAAAGATGATGAATTTGGTCATTTTCAGCATAAAGTACAATTTAGGGTGTGATGGCAAAAGAACACATGTCTATAAGAACAGGAGAAGAACTGATATAAGCTGTTGCTGAAAGAACTATTCAATCATTCCAAGAAGATTATGTTAGAAAGGAACATTATTACAACCAGGATGCATAGTTCTCTGTAGTATCACTTCACTTCTTTTACTGTCTCTCAGGGGAAATTGGCCTAGCTCCTTCCATCAGGCAGGCAAAATAATATTCTTCAGTATAGTCCTTGGTTTTTAAAACTGGCTTTAAAATTGTTCTCACTCTGTTCTTACCTATTTTATTGCACATCATTTTGGGTAATCTTTATAAAGTCAGGGGGAAAAAAAGAAGGAATAAAACAAGTGCCTCAAAACTGTGTGAAAGTATCCCTCTTACCCATGTTGTGGTCTTCGTGTTATGGTCAATGAAGAAAGGCCTGCCGTTAGGAGCTATTCGCATCTCCCATCCAGGAGGCAAGAAGCTTTGTGTCAATTTATGCTGTGGTTTTGGAGAATTATAGGGAGAAGGCTGTGGAGACTGTGGATTAGAAAGAGTGTCCTTCACAGCTCTTCGCACCGGAGACTCCTTCAGAAGTCCCTGAAGAAAAAAGCAGCATTAAGAATCACTACTAGCACTCGATATTGGGGTATAAATGGTATTGGGTTAAACATGGATCGTCATTAGGAATGCAAGGAAAGACATAACAGATACTGGCCTTGTTTACATGTCTAATCTGGGGTAAAGAGTTCTGGAGCTGTCCTGATGCAGCCTGGAAGCATCCCTGGAGTCGTTTGGGTATCCAACAAATGCCCATAGTTGCATTGGTGACCCAAAGCAGCTAGCTTTCTTGCTGAGGCTTTCTGGTGGCGTTGTATTTCTTGGTTGCATGACTGGGTACCCTGATGTGACCTCACCAGTAGCAACATCATTTGCAAACCTCAGCAAGGGAGTTCCTTGTGGCTGGAGACATATGGTGGGGCTATTGAACATGTTGATCATGGATCAGGCTAGATCCAGCTGTCCACATCTCCAAATCTCCTGGAAACTCCAGAGGAAAATCACATTTCCCACTGAGCTGCATTAACGACTAAATGCACTACTTCCTCTGAAAACCCAGCCATGCATCATTGTAGTCTCTCTGCAGCAGCTAAAAGGTCAAGTCCACATGATTTAGCCATTATCTCTATTATCTTATACCCTGTAATGTCTGTGTGAGCACACAATGTCATTTCATCTAGAATGATTGATTGGTTTCTAGCCTCAGTACACTATTCTGGAACAGTTTGCCTTAGGTAGAGACATGCACCTCCTTCAGTATGGTCTGAGAAGCTGCCCAGAAAGCCAACACTTTCCTCATCTCTCCACATCCCAAATGCAATTCCATTACTCAGAAAATCACAGCACTGACACTTCAAGCCATCAGAGCATCAGGCTGTTTCATCCCAAGAAGCATAATGCTGCACTTGATGAGTGCAATTCTAACTCAACACTGGAAAAAGCAGAAGATAAAAATAAAATAAAAGCACAAGGAAGGAAAAAGGCAACCAAGGCAAGGTAGATTTTTAACATAGAAAGCTAACGTTAAAAAATCATTAAGTTACAATTTCAGGCCTATCCTCCAGAAATTGCTGTTATTGGAAGTTTAAAAACTCCCAAGTTTTCAATTATCTGAAATTATGTTTTAAAAAACGAAATTGGTATGATCACTGGAATATGACACAAAATGCAACTCAGTCATGTGATGCGTATCCTGATGATGATAAAAAGTGATTAAACCAGTTACAGTTATATTGCAAAAGGAGGGATGTAATCCATCATTACATTACATTATTAAGTAGATTTAATCATGCCAAAGTTGTTATTTGTAATGAGGATAGTAATTTCCAGGCTTTCAGTAGTGGCACCTGTGCCAGGGCTCTGAAATCCTCCCTGTCCTTCACAAGAATCAATGACCCATACAAATACGGTTTACCTGATGGTATAGTTTGTATAATATATTATATAGGATGCTTATTGCATAGGTATGGGATGTGAGGAGGAACACAAAATGAAGATGAAGGAGATTAGGGATGCACATGAATAAACGTATGCTCGGGAGAAAGTTACATATATTGGAAATATAGATCATTATGCTTATTTATTTTGTATATTTACAGTATAACCCATGTTTCTTCCACCACAGAGCTCAAGGTGACATCCATAAGGTTCCTGGCAGTTTCCAATTCAAGGACTGATAAACAAGCAAGGCTGGTGAGCTGCAGTAAGTTGGATGCATCACAGACCCTCAAACCATATCCTGTGCTCTAAATATATCAATGAGAGGTATTTAGCACATGACATTCATTTAGAGCAGTGTTTCTCAACCTGTGGGTCCCCTGGTGTTTTGGCCTACAACTCCCAGAAATCCCAGCCAGTTTACCAGCTATTAGGATTTCTGGGAGTTGAAGGCCAAAACATCTGGGGACCCACAGGTTGAGAAACACTGACTTAGAGTAATTATTTGGAAGTGCAAACACAAGGAAGAACAATAGGAGTTATAAGTGGGGAGATGGAGCTTCTAGTTATGATACATAGATCACCTGGAGATGGCTTATTCAGAGAGTTTATGGAGACATGGGGAACGGGGTGCCTGTGTGAGCTACCAGGGATGGGCATATATTCATCATCCATTTGCTAAGAGGAATGAGGTGCTTGATGCCAGTATAGGCATATGTCTCTAAGAAACCTTCCTTCATGGGGTTCCTAAATAAAAACCCCTTGCTTTGTCCATCATGAGCTGATGTGTTCTTTTAAAAAACATATTCATAATATTTCCAGCCCTATTGCCTACTACCTTGTTAATGCTTTATTTTATTGTATTTTGTATGTGCCTTCGGATTGCCTGCTTATCTATGATGACACATGAATTTCACTGGGTTTACTTCGCCTGGAAATAATCAGAAGATCACTTTCTTCTGGATATTCTTGGTATTCCTTTCTAAGTGCTAACTTATCTTGCTTGCCTTTTAAGGTAAGACCTAATCTGGTGTTGAGAATCTAATTAAATTAAATAAAAGTTAAATGGAGGCAAATGTTTTACAGACAAGTTTTATTTTCTGTAACAGCTTATCTGGCTGATCAACATAACCAGAGCCATAGAATCATAGAGTTGGAAGAGACCTCATGGGACATCCAGTCCAACCCCCTGCCAAGAAGCAGGAAAATTGTATTCAAAGCACTATGATATTTAAATATTTTATATACTTGAAAGTTTGGCTTCATGTAATTGCAAATACTGCAGTTTTTCATTTCAGTCCTTGAATATCATTTATGACAATCCGGTACTTGCTTTCCATGTAGTAAGCTCCATGCAGCTATGCTGGCCACATGACCTTGGAGGTCTCTATGGACAATGCTAGCTCTTCGGCTTAGAAATTGAGATGAGCACCAACCTCCAAAGTCGGACATGACTGGACTTAATGTCAGGGGAAAACCTTTACCTTTACCCCAAGCTCCACTGAAAACAATTACACTTGCAGCTGAGTAGACATGCATATGATTTCATTAGGGATGACTAAAAACCAAAACATAATAGAGCTGAAAATTCTGTAATTTCATGTAGCTTCTGTACTACATGACATTACATTACCATACAGAAATTACATGACATTACAGAAACACAAAAATTTTTTTATAGAGTTGAAGAGAATTGAGCAATAAAGAAATTAACATAATGAAGAAGTCTACAACACAATATAGCATGACACGCTGTTATACATATTCTGATCTTCATGCACTAGACCATTTACAACTAATATTAGACATTCACGCATGTATTTTTCAGTCATCCTCCTTGTTTCTGTTGTAGGTAAATTTAGAATACAGTCATGTTACTTGCTTGCATTTACCAAATACATCTTCTTAAAACTCTTAACTCAAGCTTGATAAATAATACTGAAAGAAAGCAAGCATACTGAAAAGGAAAACTCCAAACCTCCGAAAAAGAAAGTAGATCTTCACCAGATTTTGAACATGAAACAAACGAACAAATAAAAGCAAACCAGACACAACACAACTACAACAAAGTATAGCCCTGTCTTAACCAAAAACAGTTGTGGAACATGTCTTTTTAAAAAAACCTAGTTCAATTTCTAAGTATGTTTCTGAAGAAGTGGAAGAGTTGAAGTAATTGCAGAATGAATCTAATATGAAGCTATGATAGCACTGTGGATGGAAGAAGATACTTGACAGGAGAAATGATTAAAAACTCAAAACAATAAGACATGAGAATTGGACAGAACAAAAAGTTGCAATGGTACAAAATAGACAGCAATAGGGAAAAGAACAATTTATAGGGGCAAACATGGCTTTTTGAAGTCCAAAGATGTTATATAATAAGGACAAACTGATTGAAAAACGGAAACGAGGAAACCACGAGATGAACAGAATATGAATCCAGGGAAATGTAAAGACTTGTTAATTGGGAAAGAATATCTCACCTCAAGTGGTGCAGATAATGTTACTGTGGGAGTACTGAGGCTACGAGGCCGTCTTATCTGAGGCTCGGTTAGGTGGTTGTTACTGTTTGAGGTTGACCCGGTTGCACCATCTTCTGCAAGCTATTTTAGAGGCAAACACAAGTTAGCTGCATGTTACAACCTTCCTTGCTGAAAGCCATGCTATTTCATGATACAATATTTAGAAAACTCACAACTGAAAAGTTATAACAAGTTATAATGAATGTTTCTGAGAGTGCACTTTTATCTCAGAAAAACAACAGAGCTGAAAATACTCATTGTCACAGACAATGTTCTACTTCTCAGGAGGATTCTAAATATATCCTAAAGCATTGTATTTCTATTTGAAAGTGTAAGGCTGTATAACTATTTTGTCAAATTTTGTTGGGCATAGCATCTAGATAGTAAATTTATCCAGTGCTCAAATTCCACATTTGCTGAGGTTAGAGGAACAGGACCCTTGTGAAAGTGAAAAATCATAAGCAAAACCAATCTTTAAGCACTAGGGTCCAAGAGATCCTTATAGAAGTGTTCTCACTAGGGAATCTCAAGATCTTCTAACATGACTATAGTCAAACTCTGGAGAACATTGACCATAGAGTCATGTTGGAGGACCTACAGATTCTGAGAGAGAACATTTCAATCATATCTGTGAACAGCTAAATCCACACATATCAAACTAACAGATTTGGAGGGGATGGGCAGAAGGGACCCTTCTATCTATGCTTTATCCAAACTAAAGTTTCCTATTTCCTATTTCCCCTGCCGACCACATAACCTTGGAGGTGTCTACGAGCAACGGCGGCTCTTTGGCTTAGAAATTGAAATGAGAGTCAGACACGACTGGACTTAATGTCAGGGGAAAACCTTTATCTTTACTACTTCCCCTGCAAACTGTTAGAACATACTTTTTGAATGGTGGTACCAACTCCTACAGTATTAAGAAGAAGGAATATCTGCATAACCGATTCACAGTTCTTCCCTTACTAGCTATATTATATGTTTATCAAAACTTTTTAATGTCCTGATGGTCTAATTATACAGTGTAGCTTTTGAGTACTTTGAATATGGTTTCTTTGCATAAGCTAGCTTACTATAGCATCTCTCCGACCTCTACTACATGCTTTTCATGCAGCAGCAACTAAGAATAAGCAAGTCAGTGTAACAGAAGAGGTTATACAATGGCAAAAAGCTGACCACTGTTGAAAGGTAAGCAAATCAAAGATTGTGATGAGAAAGGGCCAGTTGCCCATTGGTTATAGCTGCAGGATTCACCCACAGCTCCTGGCTGGACAATTACACTGATGTATCAGCAGCTCACAAGCACTTATATTCGTCATTGGCATGGATAACTGGATTCCCCTTCAACCCAGTTCTGAAGCCCACCAGAACTTGAAAGCTTTACGAGAAATCCCAGCCAGCTTTAATAAGGTTTAATATTAGCACTGTGAAATTGCAATTAAGGAGTAAATTTGCTTCAAGGAAGAGTGAGGTTGCAAGGGCCAATCAGTGCTGCAAAGGCTGATATCTACAATAGTACTAACTTATAATTGCATATGTTCACATTTGTCCACTAGATGATACTTTAGACAAAGTGGGACACACAAACTGTTTTTTCTATACAACTCTAACAGCTAGCACATCTTCCTATTGCAAAGACCCAGATATATTCCTAACCTGTGTTGATGTCATTAGACTGAGAAACAGTAAGTGTTACAATGCAAACCTGGCAGGTTCGAGACATACTGTACCTCGTACCTTGCCTTAAACAGTGATTATCTTTCCAGATAGAAGTGATTTCCTTCTCCTATTTAAAGCTTTCATCCTGAAAACTGACACAATGATGGAACGGAACATGACTCCATGTATTCTCTATGGTCCAAGTGCTTTTGCAGGATAGCAAGATTCATACCTGCATAATAGGCCGGGTCCAAGTTGTGGTTCGGTTGTTATGATTGACATAATAAGTACGTCCCTTAGCATCTTTCCTCTCTTCCCAGCCCGAAGGTAAGCCCGGTGTAGTATGTACATAGGCCACTGATGGCTGTTTATACAAGAAATTACCAAAATGTTACTTTGTGACAGGAATCATTCTCATAAGCAATGTTTATAGCAATATCGCTGGAAGATGTGCATTGGTGCATCTCTTCTTCTAAAGGAGGTTCGCCTACAGACAGATAAGATTTGGTTCCGTCACCGGGAGGGTGATTGGTGAAGTCATAAGTAAATTCCTGTGCGCTGAAATCAGCCAAGACTATAAACACATCCAGGATGACAGAAACAGCTTAATCCTTGCTGAAGATTAAATTTGTTGATTAAAGACATTAAAGACAGACAACAGGAAAAGAAGACGACGACTACAAGAAGACTGGACAGAATCAATACACAGCCATTAGTAGTACCACAAACTAATTCACCTAGGCTTCACTGACTAGTCATTCTTCTTTGAATCATGTATAATATTTATTTTTATTTTCTCAGTTTTACTATTCTGAGAAAAGTAGTAAAAACAAGTCCTCTGTGAACCACCATTACAGGACCTGTGAATAATATCCGCCTTGCTGGAATGATCAAGCCTGTGTAGCTCTGGATCAAAATACACTGATTAACCATCCAACAGACTTTCAGATGTGGAAATCCTGTTCTAAATGCACGAGATTTAGAAATATCTGAGCATACTGTTTCATTCATTTTAATGTCTCAGCTTTCTTGTAGGAAGCCTTTCCCCATGTTATCCTCACTACAATTCAGAGAAGCAGGCTAGTCCAACAAACAGTAAACCTGGGAGCTAAGTGAGCATGTGGATTTGAATCATTTGCTCCCCCAATCCCAAACAAAAATTCTAGACTGCACACCTTATCACCTGGTTGCACACCTTATCACCTAGGTTTCTTTCATTGGCAACATAAGATTAAACTGAAGTGCCAGGATTTACTAACAGCAAAAGATGCATTAACGATCTATTTGAAACAGGATTGTCTGAAAAGGTAAGAATGAGTTCTTCCTCTTCTTCTTCCAACACTGTGCCATCTTGTGCTCCAACTTTATCTCTACCATAATATTTCTTCTTTTCCCACTAGCACACACACCCACAAATATCATTTCCTCCACTATCATATTTAATGAAAAGGGGAAATGAACTAAAGAAGTATCATGTCCAAATACTCCATTTTATACAAGATACAACACAATTTTAACTTGCTCTTGAAATATACCATAAATCTTCCTTTTTAAAAATGCTACCCAAATTACAGAGGTCCTGTATTGTCCTTTATTGATTTTAGGCAGCTGACCATAACAATGGAGGTTAATATCCTGTTCAAAAGGCTGGAGATGCCCCAGGAGACACAACTATGGCCGTGAAAGCTACTTTCGGCTGACTGGCAATATAGCCATCACTCCATATTCAAGAATTCTGTATCAACGGATTCAACCATTCATGGCTTAAAAATATTTTTAAAAAAATTGAAAGAAATCTAACAAAGGACACCATTTTACTACACTATTGTATATAACAGAACTTGAGCATTCACAGATGTTAGTATCCAAGGGGGCTCTTGGAACCAAAGCTCAGGTGATACCAAGAGCCGATTGTACTCTCTCCACTCTACAAGTTGAAAAACAATTGTGCACCCATAGCTTAAGAGGACCAAGATTTAAACATGCCAAGAGCAACATACAGCCTGCAACAGAGTGCAAGCCTGTAATCATTTTCAGCACTCATCATTGCTGCTTTTATTGCCAACTTCTCCTTTACTGTCTTTCTCACAAGTACTGGGCAGCCATAATTGTTTTTACAGGTCACTTGGAAATGCTACAATGGTAGAGGCCCAGCAAACACCTCTTTTTTCAAAAACAAAAAAGCCTGTTTGAATGTCTGGGTAGACGTAAACAGAAATAAATAGAGGGAGATGAGCAATTGACTAGGTCCTTTAGCTCTACATTATGATTCTACTTCAACTGCCATGAGTGATTTCTTCCCAACACTAGTTCACTTTTGCATTTGTCCCACATAGACTGGTGGTGGTCTCTCCTCGCCTATAAGATTTGGCTCTATTTGTATGCTACCTGAGTATCTTTTCCCTAGATTTTTCAAATCACTTGATTTTGGGGACTAGAAATGGTAAAGTACCAGGTATCTCATTCTTTTCTAATGTCTACTGGTTGAAATTTCCATTTATGTTACAATTTAACATTGTTCTCGCATTTTATGATTTGCTAGATCTAGTGCAAGCAAGCAGGATTCATACAGGCTCTTCTCAGCATATTGAAGTTTTGGCAATTATTTGCCATTGAACTAAACTATGGATTATGGGGAGAGGATCTGCCACAGAACCTATTTTTCTTTATGTATAATACATGTTTAACTTCTCACTTCCTTCTACGAATTTTGGTATAAGAAGCTGCAAAGAAGCCTTTTGAGAGGCATGTTTTCCCAGCAAACACAAGGTTTATTTTGAATGTTGGGAAAAAGCAATTTAACCTCACAAGTAAGGCACAACATGGAAGAAGACATCTACACAAGAGTTACATGGAGAATGCTTTCCAGAGACTAAATAATCGGCAGAAGACCTACAAGGCAGGCACTCAGAAGAAAAATAAGAAGAAAATGGATGGAGAGGAAGATACATTCGCCTTGATAAAGATGTTATTACCGTTGACTCCTCGCCACCAGTGACAGTTGAGGAACGAACTCTCCTAGGTGGTCCAGTCTGCTGTTAAATAATAATAATTGTTGTAGTTAAGGAGTGATCAAGCATGGAGGTTAAAGGTTATATGCATATGTTCAGGAAAGGGAAAAAATAAATGAAAACTTTTTTGAGTTGGACAAAACATTGAATTGATTTAAAGGAAGAAAGCAGGTTATGTGGTTGACAATGAAGTCAGAATGAGTGATGCATATTGCACTATATTAGAAGTGCTAGACTGAAATAATAGATATCATGATCCTAAATATGTATGCCTTTATTTTCTATCAGAGATTGCAGCACCACAAAACATGAGTTCCAGACTAAGATCCTATTAGGATAAACAAATGCATACTTTCATCAAAATCATTTCTGTTCATGAGGCAAGGAGAAAGGCAATGTGTTAAACACTGCAGCAAAGTAGCTTAATTAAATAATTTCATTTTTTCCCCAAGGCAAGATACAAAATACAAATATGAGATATTTAGAAATTAAATGAAGCAAACTTCTTTGGTCACCAGCAAGTGCAAAGGCTTGAGAAGAGTCAAGCTAAAATGGAAGAGGCAAAATTTCAGTTAATTACTGCCCTAGCCAGAAAGAGTAAATGTGTGTGCATGCATAAATGAGTGGGCATAGAGAGTATAACTTAATTGCTAAACAGGAAAAAAAAACTAATGTAAGGTTAGAGGTCTGATCCCATATAATAGCTCCCAGTCTCTCAGAGAATTTCTAAAAATTATTCGTGAACTGTGACAATTTTCAAGTTAATTGACATTATAAAGGAGAGAAAAACAAGTGAAGAAATTATTCTTATTTGTGCAATGTGCCACGGATAACAGACTAGTCCTGTAACCATCTTCTCATACAAGCTAGGAAGAAGGTGGCAAGCGTTTTGTTACAGTAATGTGATTAGCCTTTTTAAAAAGATGTCTTTCAATGACAAACCACACAGAAAGGAACACAAGGCAGAGAGTTAATTTGGGCATGTCAAAATTGATTTTGTTCAATGCATATATTTCATAGCAAACTTTCTTGACCTGCACCTCTGGAATTAATACTGGATTGGAAGATAGTCAATTTTTTTGGATTTTGTTCTTCTCCAAATTTTGAGACATAGTTCTTGGCGCAAAGAAGAGCATCAAATGCATATAAAGACTAGCCATTCTGGATAAAGCATCTTCTAAATGTGTATTTTGTAATAAAAATATAGACTTAAGTCATGGTAATTTTCATCCAGATTTAGAAACAATGACTCAGAAGATGGGGGTGAGCTTAGTTTTTGCAGCTTCAAAGATTAAAATGCAATCAATTGATTCAAATTGCAAAAAAAGAGATTCTGCCTAAACATTAAGAAGTCCTTTTTTATTGCCAGAGGAGTTGAATAATAAAATAGATTGCCTTGGACAGAGTGGGCTCTCCATCTTTGGAGGACTTAAATGGACTGGATGCGCATTTTCCAGGGTATTACATGGCCCATCTAGTTGCTTCCATTCTAAGACCTTACAAAGCTATGAATTCAGCTCTCTAAGTACAGATAGTTTTGAACTCTAGACCTCATCTCGCCAAGCAACAGCAGTATCATTACATGTGGTTTCATGCACCTTGTCCAATTTGAAACAAGGGCATCCTTATTCCAGGAACTGTGCTGTGTATCCACCGTACACAAGAAAGTTTGGATTAGATGGTTGGACCATCACTGAACTAATTTCAGTGCTGTGGGCCTAAACACAACAAAAATTGAAGTCACTATACAAATCACCGAACAAAGACTGAAACCATGAATGAGAAAACTGTACTTACCAGTGTTAAATGGGACTGCTCAGCAACTGCATCAGTTACGCTGCAAGACCTTAACCTTGCAGAAGGATCTCTTTGCTGAAGGAAGAAAACACAGTGGGTCATTAAATTTACATCTTGTTTGGCATTTCCCCTGAAAATGAAGTAAGTCAGAATGACATTTTCATATTATATCTGCCTTTCTTCCACTCTCCTCAGTTCAACATTTGAAACTTGAAATTTGCACAATATTTTTGCCACCGAAGAAGATGGTTTCTAAAACCTGCTTCAAACATCAAGAATAGATAGGGAAAATCTTTATCTTTAATTATATAAGTAAAGTAGTGACTGACTGGAAAAAGTCCATGCAAATTGCTCGCCTCTCAACCACAACAATGTTGAGAAATAATACCAATAACTGACCATCTTCCTAGTTGAAAATGATATCGACATGTGAGAAATGAATGGATATTTATTTATTTATTTATCGGGTCATCCGCAACCAGAACATTGTATTACATTTCTAACAGAACAAAACAAATGAACAGATTAATTTTTTTTTTTTGCAAACTTGGTAGCTGATTAAATGGATTAAATGGATTATACTGCAGGGTTGTTGCAATAATTATTCAACATTTATTTTCAGTGCTAATCAAGGGACATAACAAAATTCAAGACGTGCTTTTGAACACCGTCAAGTCCTATGGAAATGTTCATTGTTTCTAGGCTTGCAATTTCTATGAGCAAGAGCAACCAACAATTGCTGGTGAACCATATTCTTCCTCTTTCTGACCCCTCACAGAAGGCCAAATTCACAAATTATTTCTTAACTGTGGTGAGATGGGTGACAGCCCCCCTTTTCTTGCTTATGAAAGCAAGCTCCCTGGACTGAGCTATAATTGAGGTGGACTAAACCTGAATTGTTATTATTTATGAATTTGAGAGCTTTACTTCTGAGCACGGTGTCTTCTGGGCTGGTGAAATAACGAGTAAATGGGCTAGAACACAAACAAGAGAGACATCAATATTACAGTAGGTTTTTTGCATTCATGCTATAAATAAATTCAGCCCCTCCTTGGCATCCTTCTGTGTCTCCCTGTTTGTATATTTTCCCATCCAACAAGACTGAACTACAATAAGCTTCTCTAAGTCAAACCGGACAGGTAGTCCTTTTAGCTCACTACTGTCTAGGCTTGTTTCAGTATCCCGGATTTCAGTGGGGGTCCCGTTCTATTTTCTGGGAGCCTCCCGAATTTGGGAGGACAGAAATCCATTTTTGATCCAGGAAGCCAAAAGATTAGTTTTCTATCCGGCCCGTTATGGGAGGGACCTCCCAGGCTCCTCTTTCTGTCATTTTAGGCATTGTTTGTCCTTATATCCTTCATTAAGACCAGGATTAAAAACATCAGAGTTAAGATGCCACTCTCTCTACAATCCTTTCCCTTCTGTCTGTAGAGAAGATTGGACTTAATGCTTAGTTAAAACTGTTTCCAGGATAGAGAAGATGGGTGCTAAAGATGCACATTGCTCTCTCCCTGCAGTACACAGCTTTCTATTGTTTTAAGGAGGCTTCCCCACTTCCCAGGGAAGGAAGAGCAATGACCTGAATCTATCATACCCTGGGCTTCCTTTAAAAAGTCCTCTTTTTTCTCTTGATTTGCAAGTGGTGCCTTTTCTCCCCTTGTGCTTTTCCTTCTAGCGGCTACCTATCTCCCACACTCCATGAAAACTGAAGGCAACCAATCTGCAACAGCCGCTGTTCTGTTGTAGTGGAAAAAAACATGGATGCTGAGCCTCTGCTGTTATGGCCATCGAACAAACCAAACAAGCCAGATTGGCTGTAGGGAACCAACCAACCAATCTAAATCCATACACAAACCTACTACTGTCTGTACTGAATGGCAGGCAGAGAATGAGACAGGATTTTTTCTCATTCCTACTTAAGAGATGCTGGAGTTTGAACATCTCCCTCAGGCTAATGTACTTTCTCCTGTGCACTTGTAAATTTTAATCCCAAATGAGTTTGTTTTCCTCTGTGTTACATAGATTTGTTTCCTATCAAACCCTGGCAAGTTAAAGAGAAAGAAAACATATTTTGTGCTAGTTTTTACTCTGCAATGTGTTTTCAGTGGCTGTTTTGATCTGTGTATCCTTTTGCAAGACTGGCTAATTTTGCAGTTTTTCCCAACATTGGGGCCTACAATTTTAATGGACTAGAGCTCCCATAACTTCAATTATCATCCAAGCTAAATGGAGATGGTGGCTTTCAGTAATCCAAAATTGGGAAACACTGCTTTGTAGGCTTCATGCTGCTGAACTGCTTTTTAGCTTTGAATATCAGTAGGGAGTGAATGGGGAATCCTAAATTCTAGCCAATATTTCCTATTTGGCAGGAGGTGGAAAAATAAATGTCGTAAAAAGGTTCACATGTGGCCAGAATTAATAGCTTATGTTGAATTCTTAAAGGCTATGACACCAGGGTAACCTCTCAGAGTTATGCAGATCTTATTCTTTTGGCATGAGACACAATTTTTCCTCCTCACTGAGTCTAAAGCTGAAATGATTTTCTTTTATTCCAAGAAAATGTTATCCATCTTTAGCAGGGGAACCTCACGAGAGCTCTTTCAAGATGTCCTTTCACTGATCGAGTGAAATCCACACAATAAACTTCCTTTTTTTTAGTTAGTGGCGAAGGTCATACCTTACATGAATCTGAACACTTGTTATAATAACTTCCCAAAGTTACAATTACTATATTTGACAGGCCAGTAAAAGTAACCAAAATTTCACAGTGATTTTCTCAGGATGGGCCTAGGGTAATAACGGCTAAGTTTTATAAACCTCTTAAATAAAGGTTAATTTGATGCAAGCCTAATGGAAAGAATCTTTTTTTTTAAAGCCATTTTGGTTGAGACAAATACTTAAGCAATAAATATTTCATGTCGCCTGTATTCTCTTCCCAGCATCAGCATTTCTCCTGCTTTTTGGAACAAACGTTTGACTTGCAGCCAATTACATATCAAATAAATCCATTCATGCAGGAATTCAGTCCAGAGAACTGTTAAATATTTGCTAGGTATGCAAAATTTAACAAAATTGAGACCTCAGAAACTTCTCCTTTCCTTAGTTGCAATTCCACCCATACTTTAACAGTATATCTAGAGGGGGAAGATGATTAAATTGAGGTTGTCATACTTTGGACATATTGTGAGACAATGTGATTCACTGGACAAACCTTGATAATGCTTGGTAAAATAAAAGGCAGAAAGAAAATTAAAAGACTACTCTACAGACATATTGACTCTGTCGAAATAGTAATGGCTCCACGGTGAAAGGAGCAGAGCAGGGCAATTAATCGTGGAGGTCTTTCATTCATAGTATTACTATATGTCAACACTGAATTGATGAGAAGACATGCTTTCAAGTATGAGGACAATCGGAAATTGCATCTTCCTCCTACACTTTTGGTTCTAGATAAGAAAAGGAATGGCTCTATTTTTCCAGGTTCAGTGTGTATAAAAGTAGAATATTTGAAACAAAACTCAGAGAAATCCCCCCCAGTTAGTGTCCCCACTGATCATGTTGGCTGGTGGATTCTGAGAGCTTTGGTAGCACCTCCTCCAATTTCCAAACTCTGTCAGTTTGCTATTTCTACCAGAATGCCAGGGTAGAGTTGTCTTGACCAGGGTCTTAGCACTGAATGGTAGGATGCTGGGGATTAGATGTAAACATGTTGGGATAGGGAACGTGCCAAGTGAAGAACAGACCAAATGCCAAATTCTGGAAACCATGGAAGCAAGGATGAAATCTTCACTAGGAAACATCAGTGCTTGGGCCAAAGTCTGGGAACAGCAACTATGAAGCCCCTCTCCCTTGTTCCCATTGAATGAGTCTGAGAACATGGTAGGAAAGAGTGAAAGGCCCCTCCAGACAATCTTAGTGCAATAATGGAACTATAAAGTGGTCCACACCTTAGTTACCTCTAGATTGGACTAGTGCAATGCACTCTACATGGGGCTGCCCGAAGACGGCCCAGAAACTTCAATTGTTCCAACGATTAGCAGCCAGACTGTTAACTGGAGTGAATTATAGGGCGCAGTCTACCCCCATGTTTAAGGAGCTCCATTGGCTGCCGTTCATTTTCCAGTCCCAATTCAAGGTACAGGTTATCACCTACAAAGTCCTGAATGGTTTGGGACCCGACTACCTTCATGACCACATTTCATTCTACGAATCTGCATGATCTCTTCGATCCTCTGGGGAGGCCCTCCTCTCACTCCCACCTCCATCACAAGCACGGCTTCTGGAGATGAGGGAGAGGGCCTTCTCCATGGTGGAACTTGCTACCCATCGAGATTAGGCAAGCTCCTACCCTGGCAACCTTTAAGAAAGGCCTAAAAACCTGGCTCTTCTGGCATGCCTTTGACGAATGAACACAAATCCCCATACCAAGTCCATCCCAGTATAGATCTGTCCTCTTGATGCACTTTTTCCCATCCTTTAGTGAAAGTTAATCCCATTGTTCACACCTCCTGAGCCTCCGCTCAGACACATTACTCCATTTATTCATCTCACCCAAGGTTTTATAAATTGTACCCTTTGCATTTGGTCCACCCACTGTGTCTTATTCCGTCTACCATTTTATTTTGCATTTTTATTGTCTATTTTGTTATTGTTTGCTTTTTACTTTGATGTTATTATTTGCTTGTTTGTATTTTACGTTGCTTTATTGTAATTCTTGGGCTTGGCCTCATGTTAGCCGCCTCGAGTCCCCTTGGGGAGATAGTGGCGGAGTATAAATGATGATGATGATGATGATGGTGATTATTATTATTATTATTTAGGCCTTCAAGTAACCTGAAGCTGAGCTATATAGGGATTATGCCTGGAAATGGAATGGCAGCCATCAGAGCTATGACAAAAAGGCAGTTGTGTGCTTCCCATAACCTTGTATTAACTATGGAATTATTTCAAACAGAATATATGTCAGTCAAAAATTATTAAAGCAATTTGATAGGATTCCTCATTTCACATCAAACCACACTAGCTGCATGAGCAAAAGAAAGTTACAGGATTGGTTCATCACACCTAACCAAGAACTGACTTGAATAGAAAAGTCTATAAATGATTGATGACTTTCAAGCAAACTGGCAAACAGCCATGGTGATCACATGAAGAGGGCATATTAATCCTCTAGTATTCCATTATCATAAGTTTTGCAAGTGTAGTTCAATAAAAGCATTTTCTAGGTTATATAAATACTTGGCCAACTTGACCTGCCTTTTTATGGAATCATGCACAGGAACGACACTTTCAGCAGAACTTCATTGTCTATTGACATTCAGGTAACCTAAGCCTTTATCTATCTCCAGGAACAAAATGCATATTTGCTAAGTATTTTATAGCCATACTTAAAATTACCTTTCCATATTTAGCTTTCATATCTCCTGAACAACAAAAGACAAGCTGATAAGATGTCCCATTAAATTGTGATTCACTGTGTACGAATCATTTCATTTCCCCCTGTTAAGATACCCTGTTAGAAACCCGATCCTCACTGATATCCTGGGAATATTAGTCATAAGCCTTTATTGCACCTGCAGACACAGAATGGTAGATTGCATCTAATTCTTAATGTTTCATTACAAAAAACCAATTACATTGGGGTGGGCAAACATAATTCATATGTCTCCTATACAGTAGCACATACATTCCAATTCTATATATAAGGACAATCATCCCTAAATATAAGGATAACCAATCAACTTTTGTGGATTTGATAATTCATGGGCTAGATTGAAAATGTTCTCTCTAAGGATTAACTATATTAAGGTAAAGGTAAAGGTTTTTCCCTGACATTAAGTCGTGTCTGACTCTGGAGGTTGGTGCTCATCTCCATTTCTAAGCCGAAGAGCTGGCATTGTCCGTAGGCACTTCCAAGATCAGGTGGCCAGCATGACTGCATGGAGCACGATTACCTTCCCGCCAGAGGTACATATTGATCTACTCACATTTGCATGTTTTCGAACTGCTAGGTTGGCAGAAGCTGGGGTTAACAGCAGGAGCTCATGCCGCTCCTCGTAGATGAACCTGCAACCTTTCAGTCACCAAGTTCAGCAGCTCAACGGTTTAACCCACTGTGCCACTGGGGCTGAGTAACTATATTACTCAGACTCAATTTACTGAAGCCCTTCCCACTTTGAATGTCTAGGGTTTCATCTGAACTATATGTTTAATGGGATGTGAACCTTGATTAATTGTAGACTGTCTAATTAAAGTAAGAGTCTAATTAAAAGTCTAATTGAAGTAAGGATGTATCCAAATGTACTCAATGTTTGGATGCCTCCCTATGCAGACTATGCAGTACATCGGGAAAATTATGTTACAGTAAGTTGTAGCAGGGCCAAGTGTATGTGTGTGTTGAAGAAAAACCTTATGATGGTAATTATTATGTGCAGCTGGTAATGTAAATTGATATACCTGGAAGAATGGCAACTTAAACATTGTATAAGGGGTACTTACAATCATAGAAGAGAGTTGTTCCCCATTGGAATCAGGAGTGATCTGAAGTCTTCGGTTCAGTTCATCAGACAGCTCCTGAGGAGTGGTCCGAGAGACGGGCGAAGCAGGTGGAGGTGGCAAGGACAGGCTTAAGGAATCACTGTTTGCATTTTCTTCTGAAATGGTTTCCCAAGGCTGAGGAAAAGGAAAGTGCTTGTGTTAAATATGCAAAAAGCACCTTCTCTGCCATGAAGTCTCTGCACAGCCATTCCAAAGAATGTGTACACAGTCTCAGCTGGGTGCTGATCAAAGGAACTTAGCAAAGCGATATGTGCTATTAAAAAGTCCCTGAAGCATGGTTTGCATTTGATAATCGTTATTGCTCTTAACCTATTGGGGATGGAGGAAGTGCAAATAGTAGATAGCAGAAATAATGATGGAATCGGAGAATAATTCTTGCCAGCATTTAAAAGAAATGAATATATTGCATAGCAGGTATGGCCCCTTCTACACTGCCCTGTATCCCAGATTATCTGCTTTAAACTGGATTATATGAGTCTCCACTGCCAGATAATCTGGAATAAGAAGATAATTTGGGATCAGATACTGGGATATAGAGATCATGTGGAAAGGCCCCAAGTGAGTGCCTCCCATAACTACAAATAGACACTTCTCCTAATTACAGAACAGTGAGATCTTCTGTCTTTCAGTTACTCATCAGGTTGGAAATCACTGAAGCATTAACATCATTTCTAAGGATTAGAATGTTTCATAGGCAAGACAACTTCAGGAGCCATTTCATTTGCCAAGGGTCCAAAAAACCTCTCCATTTAACTCTACATTAATTACCTGGTAAACCAGTCATGGTCAAATGCTAATAGAACTGAACTAAAAGGTAGGATTGCCCAATACAGAGGACTGTGTGCTTTGATGCATCATCACTGACATTGTCAAGGAATCTGGATTACAAATCAAGATTGATAAGGAGTTAATTAGGTGTCACCTAGTTAGCCTAAATTAGTCTTCAGAGCCGAATGAACTGCACCCCAGAATACTGAAGGACCTTGCTCACATATTTGCAGAACCTTTCATTCTGAGAACAGATGAGGTTCACAGGAGATAAGCAAACACTCTTCTGATTTTAAAAAAAGGCAAAAATGAAGATCACAGAAACTACAAGCTAGTCAGCCTCACCTCAATATCAGGAAAATAGTGTATTACATTATACAGAAGTATTTTGACGACAATGCAACAATCAGTAGGAGCCAGCATAGGTTTATCAAGAACAAATCCTGCCAAACTAATCTTACATTTAAAAAAAATCAGACCACTAGTTTAGTGGATGGTAGGAATGCTGTAGGTGACTGGATTTCAGCACTTATTCACCCATCACATCTGCTCCCAGTTTGAACTGTGGTGTAAATCAACTGGCGATGGACAACATGACATTTTGGGAAATGTTCATGGTTTAATTTTGCTCAACATAATCACCAACTTCCCCACTACTTCCAGACTGCATACATATTTAACTTGGGTGTTTGTGGTTGATTTGCAATTGGCATGGGCAATAATCAAACGGCAGGACCAAAAGTGATACATAGATATAAATATATAGATATAGCTAGCTACATTTAGTTTAATCTTGAGAAACAAGATTATAAAAATTATTCAAGTTGCTATGGATAAGATTTGTTCAATATGAGGATAATGTTGTTTATATGTACAATCTGTTAAATATGTATATATGAAATTGGGTTTGTATAGGTTTTATTGATTTTATGGTTATAATGCATGAACTGTTATTATTTGCGAATTGATGTAATTTTGTGTATGATTGTTTTATGATGCAGGCATCGAATTGTGCCTTTGCCTCTGTAAGCCGCCCTGAGTCCCCTTCGGGGTGAGAAGGATAGAAGGACCCCAAATATATATATATATATATATATATATATATACACACACACACACACACACACACACACACACACACACACAGTGATGCTGGCGTAATATCAGAATTTGGCTGTGTGTGTGTATGTGTGTGTGTGTGTCAGAAACGACTTGAGAAACTGCAAGTTGATTCTGGTGTGAGAAACTTGGCCATCTTCAAGGATGTTGCCCAGGAGATGCCCCGATGTTTTACCATTCTGTGGGAGGCTTATCTCATGTCCCCACATGAGAAGCTGGAGCTGACAGATGGGAGCTCACCCCACTTCTCGGATTGGAACTGCTGACCTCTCAGTAAACAGTCCTGCCAGCACAAAGGTTTAACCCATAGTGCCAACGGGGGCTCCGATATTCAGTTGAGTTATATCACTGTACTACTCAATGGCTGTTGGAGACTATCATGTGCAAAAGACAATCACATTTATTCATTAGCATTAGTTAAGATTCTATAATATCTGATATGGAATTTGATGTGTGTATATATTTCACAGGTACATGTGATATCTTACAATCATTGTTTTTCTACTGATGTAAATGCAAAAGCAATACAAATATGATGTGCAGAAAGGAACATTCATACCTCTGAAAACATATGGATTTGTTACTACAGCTCATAAGGTACATTGTTGTCCTTCCAGCAAGTTTATACATGGGTTTTTTTTTACTTGCATTAGCGAGGCATAAATAATGTTTCTAAATACACCCGAGTCTTGTGGCACAGGCTTGTTAGTTGTGTTTTTTACAAGAGACTAACACGGAACGTGTTTGTCAAGTTCATTTTATTTGCATAGCTGTATGCAAATAGGGTAATGATCTCCTCTTCCCATATTTAATTATGTATATAATGTAATTAGGGGCTCTACATGAGTTATTCAGCAAGAGTCTTGTTCCAGGAATATTTGTTACATAGAGCAAAGTCACCCATCAATAATGAGCAAGACATTTGACAGTTGCAGAGCCAAAGCGATGGAATGACTTCCCGGAGGCCAACGTTTTACAATGATTTCTGGCTGATATTGGCTCGAGTCCCATGTGTGAAAGCTAGTTTGCCAGACATATAATTTTCTGGATGTACATTTGAATGCATGTCCACCTTCTGAAGCTACTAGTTGAATTTCCAATTAGTTTGGCACAACCAAGACTAAATTTGAGAGATGTTTTTAAAAATCATTAACTGCAAACTCCCATTGTGGTAAACACACGTTAAAAGTCAAATCCAATTCCAGGAATGCCCACTCAGAATGTAAGTGCTATTAAGTCCAATAGGCTTTACTATGAATAAGACCACACAACCTTTATTGAAATATGTACACTGTAGAACTTGGGAAAGTTACTTTTTTGGATGACAGCTCCCTACGGCTTTCGTAAGCAATAAGAAACCCTTTAGGTTCTTGTGGGTTTTTTCAGGCTATAGGGCCATGTTCTAGAGGCATTTCTCCTGATGTTTCACCTGCATCTATGGCAAGCATCCTCAGAGGTAGTGATCCTCACTACCTCTGAGGATGCTTGCCATAGATGCAGGCGAAATGTCCTCACTACCTCTGAGGATGCTTGCCATAGATGCAGGCGAAATGTCAGGAGAAATGCCTCTAGAACATGGCCCTATAGCCCGAAAAAACCCACAAGAACCTAGTGATTCCAGCCATGAAAGCCTTCGACAATACAAGAAACCCTTTCTTTGTTTTTCCTATTACCGAATTATTGTTAGCAATAACAGGAAGAACTATTAAGGACTATTAAGCTATTTTTAGCAAATGGCACTTAATGAGACATGCCGCAATATCATAGGATGTCTACACCCTGCACCACTGGAGAAATTATACTGTTTAGCCAGTATTGCACCACCTGAATCTGCTGGGAAGTGGCAACCAATGATGAAAGAGCAAAGGCAGTGACATCTCTGACCCATCCTCTGTTTGGATATCAACAAGCACGCCAATGCCTTAAATCAAGAAATAGCTTTTTATGATCTACAGAGATACTCACAGGAACACTTCAGCAAGTGAGAGTCCAAAAGTGGCAGGCTAAAACCTGGAACCTCAAGCCATGGCTGATACCAAATGAGACTCCCCCTGGGCACACAGAAGACTGGGCTACTTGGAAGGAACTGAACAGACTGTGCTCTGGCACCATGAGATGCAGAGCCAACCTTAAGAAATGTGGCTACAAAGTGGAATCCACGACATGTGAGTGTGGAGAAGAGCAAGCCATAGACTACATATTACAATGCAGCCTGAGCCTTGTCACATGCACAATGGAGGACCCTCTTTATTAATTCTAGCTCTTTTATTGTAATTGCAGACAGTGTTTATCATATTTTGTGATTTCTCCAGCTGAGATTTCAATGGGTAGCATCCTAAACAAAAAGTTTATTTTAGGTAATAGTTTCATGTTTATTAAAGCTATTCTACCGAACTATGACAATTTGTGCTTCGCAAATTTAGCCAGAATATCCTTAACGTTTTTTCTTAATTTGATTAAATTCTCCCCTTCTAGATTATCGATTTCTTTAGATATATTAATTCCTAAATTATTGAGTTCTTTATTGAGTTTATTGAGTTCTTTATTTTTATTCTGCCCACTCTCCATTCTCTTAATTTCTCTTCTTCTACTTTAATACGGTTAAATAATAAGATTTCAGATTTATCCCAATTAACTTTAAGGCCTGTAATTTCCCAAACTCTGTTAAATGTGCTTCTATTCTTTTTATCTGTTCTAATGGCTTTCCGAAGGTTAGTAGTGTATCATCTGCAAATAAACATATCTTGTATCTTCCCCCCTTCCTGATACCCTTTATATTTATATCCTCTCGCATCGTATTTGCTAGCATTTCTATAACTATTGTGAATAGGGTAGGTGAAAGGGGGCATCCCTGTCTTGTTCCTCGAGTCAATCTTATTTTCCCAGTAAGGTCACAGACCATGTATTACAATGTAGCCTGAGCCCTGTCACATGCACAATGGAGGCCCTTCCTATAGCAACACAGAGGCACTCCAAGTGGCCAGCTACTGGTCAAAGGACATTTAGTATAATGCCATGTTTTTAAATGTTTTGTTTTTAAAATACATTACAACTGTACCCTTGGTTCACTTCTGATATGATAAATAAATAATATAAATAAATAGCACATAATAGCCAAGGAAGAGAGATGACTTTTTTTTTTATGAAAGACAACAACAAGGCTGGCTGACTAAGGAGAAGCAGAGTAATGTTTTCATCAAACCTTTTGCAACTGATCTTTTAAACATTTTCCTTTAACACACAGTTATTTTGGAACCTTTAATTCCAAACATTTTAAAGGGACAGCATGCAAAACCACATGTGGGTTTAATTGTTATGACAACAGGGCAAAAATCCAGCTCCTGCACCTACTTCAGGTACGTCTCCACTTTCCAAAGGCTCTGGATCCAAATCCTCACTAATGTGTCTCCTGGATCGAAACCTTCGGTGGGCCGCCTCTTGATTTATCTGTCTGATGTTGTTGTCTGATTCAGATGACACATCCCTGAAATGTTGAGTTGACAAAAGAGTAATGAGTTGGTAGAGGGAGAATGAGCATTATTAGTCGCAGCTCTGCTACATTAATATTAACTTCTTAAAAATCACCATTTCCATCCCTGCAAGGTCTCTTGCATGCATCTGATATTTATTAACAAAGTCAGCAAGTGATGAATTATTTCTCTGGGACTCTGGCAAGTTAAATTACACAATGATGGAACTGTATTCCAAAGCAAATAAAGCCTGAAAGTCAGCCTCAACCATTAGTTTCATGAAAGGAGAATTTCAGTGCTTTCAGTAGCAAATGCCAGAAGGTTGAAGCATTTAAAGCACAGTGCATAACTCACACATTGCTGTTGCTACACTGATAACATTCTTTTGCTCTTATGTTGATAATAACCAGAAATAATAACATTTCTGAGCAGAGTTTTCTTCTTTTACTTTCTTGCAGAAATGGTTTTCCAAACTTTTAGTTTATGGCCTCTCTGAGTTTTGCATGCAATATCAAAACCACTTAAACCTTGGTCTGAAAATTTTACCACCACCACCACTTCATCTGTGGTGGAGAGGTGCAATGGTGTCATCAAAACTAGCAGAATAGGTTTCTATGTACTTATCCTTGCAGTTGCTAATGAAACTGATTGAGAAAATCCTCATCTGTAATATTCATGATTGTTTGATCTAGAGAAGGCAACTTAAGCATCAAATGACAAGGTTATGGAATATGAATCTGATGGCAATATCATACTATCTTGTCCAACAGAAAAGTACATAAAAGGAAATAGAGCTTTGGGAAGGGATGGCAGAATACACCAGGCTTTGGCAAAGGCCACATCTACACTACCATATAATATGGTTTGAGAGTGCTTTATATGGTCAGTGTAGAGCCATATAATGCAACTTAACTGCACCGAAATCCTTGCTGATGCCATAGACTACAACTCCCATCAAGCCAAGCTCACACTGCCGGAGATGATGGGGTGAGTAGTCCAAAGCATCTGGAAGGCACTGCATTGGGAAAGCTGATGTAGACGATACTGGGAGAAGATAGAACAAAAATCTAGTAAAATGTGAGCCATTTTCATATATTCTAGAATTTACCTTTGAGAGAAGTGACATGCTTTACTCAGAAATTTCATAGCAGAATTCTACGATTTTATAAAGACCCTTAAACATCATTGTATTTCAATACTGTTAATGATGAGCTTAACCAATAAACTTCCACATCCAGGTAAAAACTGAAAATGGTATTTTAGCAAACTGGCAGTCAAAATTATATCCAGCTTGTTCTGAAAACTATATGTGGAAATGTCAAAACCACGTGGCATGAATTAGGAATATAAACTCAATCTCAGGGAAAGGGAAATTCTCCTGCAATATTTATATCATGGTGCCCAGAAAAAGTACCTTCTTGGCAAAAAGCACAATATAACTGGATGTTAAACTAATGCTTGATGTCAGTAGAGCTCATACCCTCTTCAATTATGCATGGCATCTGAAGTTAAGCTTTTTGTATTTTTAGAAAGGCATTCATAAGAAATGCTGAACTGTGAACAGAAAAAAAAAAACCTCCACTATATTCTGGGGGCAAGAAGATTACATAAATTACAAGAAGATTACATACATTTGCTAATAAACTATGAAAGAGGTAGGGAAAGGAGAACTATTAGTAACATCACTGAAAGCTAATGAAAAAACCGACTACCATTAAAATCAACTACAATGTCAAGTCCCATAGCCACAGATTCAGAAGGGGAAAAATGGTCTCTCCAGACAATTGCTAGCTCTTCTAGGTGATTCTATAGTATGCTTATACTAGGATATCTCTCTAGTAACCTCTAGGTCTTACAACACAATTCTATGGTATGCTGAGACCAAAAATGAAGCAATTTAATGTGGTTGATTGTATCCACCGTATCATGTAACCGTGGTCCACTTTAAACCCACGCGTTCCCTTCGTTCATCCGGAGAGGCCCTGCTCGTGATTGGTGGGGATGAGGGACAGGGCCTTTTCTGTGGTTGCCCCCTGACTTTGGAACACCCTCCCCAAAGACATCAGACTAGCACCCACGTTGGCAGTCTTTAGGAAGAGCTTGAAGACCTGGCTATTCTGATGTGCCTTTCCGGAATAGGAAAACTCCAGCATTATGTCCCAGAAGCACTTAATTAGAGTTTTAAGATTCTCTGCACATTGCACTTGCCCTGAAATCCAACATACCACCTGTCACACCCAGTCCTTTTTAATCTGTACCCATTACTTGGCCCGGCCCTAATTTTTACTGTGTTATGGTGTAATGTTTTGTTGTTATTGCTTTATGTTTTTGATTTGCTTTGAGTTGTATTTGTTATGCTGTTGTTGTGTTGAGGCCTTGGCCTTTGTAAGCCACATCGAGTCCTTCGGGAGATGCTAGCGGGGTACAAATAAAGTTTAATAATAATAATAATAATAATAATAATAATAATAATAATATTTATTTCCCCACAGATACAGGGATCTTACTACACATCATTGGTTTAATGATCCATGTCTTACATTCCCCGTAATTTCAAAATCATTACTAATTATTGGACAATAGTAATGGCTAAAGTGCAGGCGGTGGATAGTGAACATCACCTCTCACTCCAGCTTCAAGTAGCAATGCTTCCAGAAAGAGCCAGAAGGCCCAAAGGAACAATATTTTATGTGGTAGCATGGAATGGCGAGGAGAGGGTGCAGAGGGACTGGCTCTTTCCCCCAAGTTACTATTGAAAGAGCAACCATTGGAAAACAAGAATATTTAAGAGGAATGCACAGTCCAAAAACATCAAGAAGCTCACAGTTTCTCCATCCCTGTTCTATGGTTGTCACTGACATTTTATCCTGTCCCCCATTATAATTTGAAATGAAAGCAAAAATAAAATCAGCAAGAAAATAAGGACTGGAAGTTACCCCATGTTGATAATACTATCTGTACTGGGTTTTGGGGGTGGGGATTAAACAAGGATACAACACTATTTAGTTTTTCCAAATTGCCTGTATTTCTTCAGTTTGATGCACAGTGATTGCAGTACCACCAACAGAAAAAAAGCTTTATTTATATAGATAAAAAACCACGTGAGATCCTAAAATGCATCCAATTTGTATAGATGTTTATATGGTAAAAAAAAGTGTCTTAGAATTGAAGAAACACGGTAATTTAACAACTAATACAACACTGTTTTCTTCTTGGTGATGGGTGGGGTAATCTGAGGACACCTGGGACTATTTTCCATTTTCCCTGTATTTTTATAAAATCACCCAAGGAATCCAAAAACAAAATAATAATTGGGGAATGTAATGAATTAGTAATGTGTTACTATGTGGTAATGCATTTCTCAGTAATGCTAACATGTTTTCACTGAAGTCAAAAGTAATGGCCAACATGAAACTTTGAGTTCATCAATTTCAGTACTTAGTTTATGGTGGGTAAACTTGTATCTCTATCAGGGGTCTATCAGAGTAAGTATAACCAAAGGGGAATCTCATGGAGAAAATTAGGATGCACAAATTAAGCAGTCAGTTTTTAGTGAGTTGGGAAAAATCGGATCTGTATTTTACTGGAATGTGATCAGAAGCTTAACAAGGATTCTGTGCAGGAGACAAGATAGAAACCATGGAACCATGTCATCTGATTATGCCCCCTCCTCCCAAACTGACTTTTTCTTGTTGCACATGCTGAGTAAGTTTGCTCAGCATTATGGTCTCCCAGATTTCCAGAAGGCTCATTGGGATATGTCTAATTATGTGCTGTACAAAATTTCACGGCTGCACAGAATTGCTCAAAAATATCAGTATGCGAGCTCCTTGTGTTCAATGTCATAAGGAAGCTAAGTTTTAAGATTAGAGCTGCCTTACATTGGGTGGAAGGCATGATAAAAATAAAAAGTAAATCAAATAATAAATAACCATAGCTACTTGCTTAGGTAACCTGTTAAAGTTCTCAAATTATCAACCATAATCCAGAACTACCCTGCAGTTGAGAACATTCCCAGCAGAGGTCAATGTATATAACCCACAACCTCCAAAAATCCAGCCATTAAGTTGGATAGAATGGGTAAGGAATCATGTGGCTTTCCAAATGATGTAAGGCCAAAAGTTTCAGCTGCCCTTAGCAGCAAAGTCAACAGTGAAGAATGCTGGAAGTTGCAGGAAGTTACAGTCCAGTATCTGGAAGACCTTGCAATTCCCATCTCTAACCAATATCAATTAGAGGGATTGCAGCAAAGCACCTGCTTCAAGGCTAGCATGCTCCACTTCTTAAATATCTCGACAAGGACATGGAAATAAGACAGTCACTTATAGGCAGAGAGCTAAGATTCCTGCTTTATGGGTCTGAACTACTGACCTGAAAGGAGATAATGGATTATATTTCTGCACAAAACATACTGCAAATAAACTATGGCAGATACAGTAGAATACCTCAGTAGAAGGACCCCCTAACCACAATGTCTTTATACAATGGGAAAATGCACAACCCCCCATGTGGTTTAACAAGTCCCCTAGAATCATAGTTGGAAGGGACCTTGTGGCCATCCAGTCCAACCCCCTGTCAAGAAGTAGGAAATCACACTCAAAGCACCTTCAACAAATGGCCATCCAGCCTCTGCTTAAAAGCCCCCAAAGAAGGAGCCTCCACCACACTTGGGTGCAGAGAGTTCCACTGCTGAACAGCTCTCACAGTTAGGAAGTCCTCCCTAATGTTCAAGTGGCATCTCGTTTCCTGTAGTTTGAAGCCATTGTTTCGTGTCCTAGTCTCCAGGGCAGCAGAAAACAAGCTTGCTTGCTCCCTCCTCCCTATGACTTCCCTGTATAAGTTCAGTTTTAAAACATGTGCAAATGTGCCCATATCTTCAAGCAATAATCCCCTCTATGTTCTGCACTTCAAAGAGAAGAGCGGTCAAGAGAGAAAGAAGCATTCAGCAGTCTTGGCATGCTTTACTGCCTGGCACAAAATTATATTGAGGAAAAAACATTATAAATGAGCCCCGTAATTACGCTAAAACAATTTTTTAGGGATTCATCAATCTGTAAGGGCCTCTGCAAACTTGCTCTGTCATGGGGGAAAAAAGAGTTTTCCCACTCATGGATTTTTTTTTCAGGAGGTGGCACAAAAAGTCAAAAACCAAAAACTAAAGTAGATGCCTGGCCACTTCTGGTTTTGATTTATTCTATTTTACAGCACTTTAAAGCATATTTGTGCCTGGTGTAGCATGTAATGGAGCCACCTCTCTTCTCATTGCTCACCCATGATTTACAGGTCTTTGCTTTAAGCCAGTTTCTATTACATTTACACTGCATGGCATTTGCTTTGATTTCTGACAAGCCTCTTTCAAAATTGTGTTTCAAATCACTGTGTTGGTCCAGTGTAAATCAGCAGCATTAATGGGTCAGAGCAATGTATCATTACTTGGAAATAAACCTCACTGGCTTAAAATTGTGGCTAATGTTTATGTTTATGGTGGGAAAATAATGGAAGCAGAACTGGTGCAAATACAATGGATAGCATCAACTGAATTAAGCAGCAAAATATTTAGAAAGACATAAGGAAATTACATTTTAACTATGTTATTATTACATGTATCTCTTTTAGTAGTAAAAATCATATACACTGAACAAAATCACTGAATTCTTTACTCTGTAAACAAACAATGAATGACATGTAATAATCACACTAAATATTACAAATGGAGAAGATAGGTTTTAAATAAGCGATTTTGAAAGAATAACCCTGTTATTAACTATCCTAATTTGTTCCAAAGCAAGTGGCCATGCTTTCCTCTATCAGAGAAAACAGGAAACTTTGGTTAATCAGAAACCCCTTTCATTCTCCCCTCAAAAAAGGGAGAGAAAAAGTTATATGCATTGATAACAAATCAGATTAAATAATAGGCTTGTGTCTTTTGGCTGAACCTTGATCCGTTTCTACTGGCCAAATTTTGGGAGACCCCCAGATCCATTTTCGCATGCCTCCCAAAAATGGACGGGTAGTCAAATAGCCATTTTTGGACCACAGCTGAAAAATGAGACTAGGCCCAGCCCATTGGCAGCAAATGGGGGTGGGGGGGAGGCTTCCCAGGCTCCCCTTCCCATCATTTTAGGTAACGGCATCCTCTGTCCTTATAACCTTCATTAAGACCTGGATTAAAAGCATCAGAGTTAACGTCCTTTCCCTTTGGTCTGTAGAGGAAACCTGGGTTTAAACAAAGGGCTTAAGATACCACTCTTCCTACGATCCTTTCCCTTTGGTCTGTAGAGGAGACTGGGGTTTGAAGCAGTGATTCTCAACCTGTGGGTCCCCAGGTGTTTTGGCATTCAACTCTCAGAAATCTCAGCCAGTTTATCAGCTGTTAGGGTTTCTGGGAGTTGAAGGCCAAAACATCTGGGAAACCACAGGTTGAGAGCCACTGGTTTAAAAAAGAGCTTAAGATACCACTCTTTCTGTGATCCTTTTTCTTTGGTCTGTAGAGGAGACTGGGTTTAATGCTTCATTAAAGCTGTTTCCACTCTAGAGGAAATAGGCCCTGCAGATGGGCACACGTCCTCTCCTTACAGCACACAGCTTTGACATTTTAAGGAGGCTTCCCACTTCCCAGGGAAGGAAGAGTGATCGACCTGGAGCTATCCTACCCAGGGCTCCCTTTCCCCCCCTCCTGCTTTTTCTTCTAGTTGCTGCCTCCCTCCCGTACTCCACTTGAAAATGAAAGCAGCCAGTATTTGACAGATACTGTTCTGTTGGGGCCAAAAAACATGACTGCTGGCCCCTTGCCATTATGGTCAGCCGGTCAAGCCAGATTGGCCAAAGGGAATCAACCAATCCATATCCATGCACGAGCCTATTAAGTAAGATATGCTTCTTAAACTGAGATATAATAATTCATATTAAAATAATATAAAATAATTGCTCTTTTAAAAGGCCCAACATTTCCTTGCTCTGGTATGTCTATGCAACCAGCCACAAATCCAAGACTCCAAAGTGAATCTGAAGATATGAAAGAACAAAACTACACAGCATATTTTCGAAACCATCTCTTATGAAGGTAATGTTAGTTCAGTCTATGTTGTTTTATTAACAAAGTTGCACTATAAAGTTGCACATATACTAGTTTGCTGACTCTGTAGACATAGTATTAAATCTGAACTCAAGAACTCATATTCAAATCCCTAAATAGTTATGAAACTCAAGGGTCAGCCTTGAGTCTGTTTCAATCTCTGTCTGTTTCTCTCTCTGAGATTCAAGTCTCCCAAGGGGCTGTTGTGGATTTGAAATCTTATTGCAGATTCCTTGAAGATGGGATAGGAATAAAAAAGTGGATGAAACTCTCAAGATGAATTGTGACTGAACATAGCATATCAAAATAATTAACTGTTACAACAATTTCCTTTATGGCTTTCATTCAACAAATATTGACTTGAAGATGGGTCTCTCATGTAAGACTGAATCAACAGCCTACATTACAAATGAGAAGCAACAGCATTACCTTAGTGAGATAATCCAAAGTCCCTCTATAATTTCAACATTTTATCAGTAGGAAACTGTGCTCTATCTTGGAAGACAAGATGTCTGCAAGAGGCACAAATGATGGGACAGAGCAACTAGATCCATAATGGCTCAAGTGCAATAATAAACACAAAATTATGTTCCTGTCCACCTGTGCCCATTACCACAGATTTAGCAATGCTGTAATCTTAAGGGAGAATAAGGAGACTGGATTTTTGAAAGCCCACTGAAACCATCTAGTTCAGAGGAATGTTTTCCAAAGTGACAAAACACACAGAAATTCCAGACTCCTGGAGTGAAAGCTAAATACTTTTACATTTTTCATTTCCAATACTTGTTTTTGGTGGTACATTGTCTATGAATATTAAGGAGTTGTGGTCAATAGCTGCTGGAAGTCCTATTCTTCATGTTTCCTGCTAAGTATTTAAAGAAGCCACGTAAGGTACTAACCATGACAACATAATATACCATTCAATTTTAAAAGCCAATTGTAAATAACATGAAGATCCACACTTACATTAAACTTGGTCGGTGCCACTGGGTTGTCCTGTTGTTGTGGTTGACGTAGTAGGTACGCCCGAGGTTGTCCACCTTTTCTTCCCAACCTGGGGGCAAAGGAGGCGGGGGCAATTCCTCTTGGCGCTGAGCAGGGGCATCATTGGAGTCAACCACTTCCCAGCCATGCTGTAAAGGACAAAAAGGAAAAATGCAAAATGAAGTTGAAAATCACATGATTGTTTAGCTGTTTCTATTGTAATGGAAAGAAACCAATAACACTTCCCAATGACAATATTTCTGATAATGAGGTGGCAGAAGTGTGCCATATGTAGCAGCTGATCTCCTAACACAAATATAGATCTCCTAAAGATCTCACTCCAGAGAAAGCCAACATACAGACCAATGCTCTACTTCACAGGATAAGAACATGTTAAGATGCTGCTCCTAAGAGAAGATCACTTGGAATAAGATAACTAATGAAGAATGGATAGAAGAAGAAGAATACTTTCATTGAACTTCATTTCTTAAACTATAGTATCTTACCTTTGTTAGCATTTCTGCTGTTGAGAATAGCAGAAATGCTAACAAAAGTAAGATGCTATAGTTTGCATATATCTATGTATAGCAATGTTTGGTATACCAAATCCAACTAAGCATGCTGTCAAAGAATCTGTATCTCATCATAATCAAAATAAACAGTCCCCCATCCCCCTTGCCCCAAAAGTGACATTATAGGTTCAAAGGTATTCTGTTACTATATTAATCTGTAAAGGTTGTGTTGGAGTTCAGCCTGTGATTGTATTTCAGGATCAGGGTGCTTTGGATGTGGGAAGTGATGTCAATGAATTTCAAGATGGCAATGGTTTGGTCAATGATACTGATGCAGAGAAGGACCAGCAGACTCCTGTGCAAAGTGTAGTTTCCCATGAGAAAGTCCCTGAAGGGCGTGAGGATGATAGTGTACTCCCTGAATTTCTACCAGAGGGTTCCCAGGATTTGTGGCTTGAAAACAACTGGGCACCTGGCCCAACTGCGAGACTTAATGAGTAAATAGATAGGCAAGAGGAAATTAGTCAAAACAGACAGGCCGAACAGTGTCTTCGGTGTTCTGCCAGGCTCCGACAGAAAAAGATAAGGGGATCTCAAGTAAAGCGAAACCGATTCCTGAGTGCGTGGAATAGCTTAACAAGGGGATAAAAGTTCAAAGTATGGGAAATATAGTCAGATGAAGCATTGTTGGAATCAAGTGTAGTTCTCGTCCTTGTTTCATTGAAGTTTTGCTTGGAAAATTCTTGTTTAAGTATTTCTTGTTTGTGGTTTGGATTCCTGGAATGTATGAATGCCTACTCATGCCTTGGATTAACGTTTCCTGTTTTCCTGAATTATATTAGAGAAGTGTGGACTTTGTTTTTATGGACTTTGCTGAACTTTCCTCTGGACTATTTTTGCTCTGTTTATCTTCTTACCTAATTGGATTTACCTATTTCTTTAAAGTGCTTCTTGCTGCTTTTTAATTATCTTCAATAAAAGGATTGTTTTCCAATCAACGGTGTGGTGTTTGCTGTCAGAGGGCTTTTCCTTTCCTGGAGCGCAACAGGTTGATTATGTCTTATCCAAAATGCTTGGGACCAGAAATGTTTTGGATATTTTGGAATACCAGTATCTGCACATGCATGCACAATAAGGTATATTGGAGATGGGACCACAAACAGAACAAGGAATATACTGATATTTCATAAATAATCTGTACGTTTATCAGCCAGCATGCCATCACCTTAAATCAAGTTTTCTAAGATCTACAGAGATACTCGCTGGCACATCTCAGCAAGCGCGAGTCCAAAAGTGGGAGGTTAAAACCCAGCACCACAATCAGTGGCTCAGACCGGATGAGAGACTCCCTCCTGGGCACACAGAAGACTGGGTGATTTGGAAGGCACTGAACAGGCTACCCTCTGGCACCATGGGAAACAGAGCCAACCTTAAGAAATGGGGCCACAAAGTGGAACCCACGACATGCGAGTGTGGAGAACAGCAAACCACAGACCACCTATTACAATGCAGTCTGAGCCCTGCCAATTGAGGACCTTCTTATGGCAACTCCAGAGGCACTCCAAGTGGTCAGCTACTGGTCAAAAGACATTTAACATAATGCCAAGGTTTTTTTTTAAGCTTTGTGCTTTTTAAATACCTTAGAACTGTACCCTTGGCTCGCTCCTGATAAAATAAATAAATAAACAACCTTATGCACATAGCCTGAAGATAACTGTATATAATATCTGTAATACTTGTGTGTATGAAACAAGGTTTGTATATATTGAACCATCAAAAAACAGAAGCGTCACTACATAGCCATCCATGTGGACAATTTTGGAATATTTCAAAATTCTGAAAAAGGGATACTCAACCTGTACAAATTTGAATGACATAATTTTTTTGGAGCAAACCAAACACAAAGAATTGTTCCATTAGCATTGGAAGTTTTTACCATAAATTTTACCATAAATGTCTATTTAGCATAAATTTTACCATTCTGGAAACTATAAAACACAACAAAAATAAATTAAAAAGTTTATTGTTATTGGAAATAGTTTCTATTGCCGTGACTAAAATACCTGTGCTCAAGATAGACTATCTGTGTGCTTAAACAGTCCTACTTTTACCACTGGTCCACTAGTACTACTGGGACTATTATCTTAGAAGACATTGCAGTTATTAGGTAAAGATAACTGAAATATGGGTGATCAAGGTCTGATCTCATGCTGTAAGGAGCAAGAACTGAAATACATTTCCCCCTTTGAAAAATCTGCTATTTATCTTTACCAAAGAAAAGAGCTGTTTCAGCATTTTGCAGAGAACAAAAAGCTACAATGGGGCACCTTTGGAGATTCCTAAACAATCAGCACTCAGAATAATAGCAGCAGGTTTCTGCCTTGGATTCCTATGCCACACTTCAATGAAGCAACGCTTTGTTCTAGAAGCTATTCCCAAGAATAGAGACTGAAATTGCTCATATCTGATTCATTCATCATGTGATAACAAAAAGATACCATTCCAACAGAAACTTGTTCCAACTCTCATCAATGATTCATGCAATACTTTCAGTGGGTTACAAAATAGGATGCACTTTGCTTGAAGTGAATGTAAAACCGACAAAAAAGCCACAGTCTTACTGTATTGCTTCACCACTTCCTGCCCTGGCAAGGTTTTTGGATTGCAGATGATTTGTTAGCCATAATTTGGGATCATGACAAAGAAATCATATGATGGCCTCTCCCAAAAAATCCCATGCTTATTGTCATAGCAAACCACGTGATGTTGGGCAAAAGGACCATTCAAACTTGACCTTGTTTTTTAATTTTTTAATTTTTTTTAATAGGAGACAGAGGAGTCATTCCCAGTTCCCTGTTCAGCAATATTGGGAGAGATTGTGGGAAATTCACCTCATTATGTTCTTGTGGTCCAGCTAATCAGGAAACAAATGAACAGTAATTCCACAAAGGACAAAAAAAATCTTTATATCACCCCAGGGGCAAGAAAAGTGTCTAATAGGCAAGGCATAATGGAAAGGTTAAAGGGGTATTTTCTGGTCCTACAGTGTGCTGTCGCGCCTGGGGCTATAGAGAAAGAGGCATGGACGTGACATCTTTCCCCAGGGGATTGCTTCTTGCCCTCCTTTAGGGAAACTGGAACTCCCAAGGACCAGAACACAACAAATAACTCGAAATGGTGTTTATTGTTGACAATGGGTTTACTTTCTTAGGCACGAACTTGATGTTTCAACAGGGAAAAATACTTTATAAATGTTAAAGTCCAGGGTCCTAGGAGTTATAAGCTGAGAAGCTTTTCCTGTTCCCTCTCTCTCAATGGTTGTGAATCCCGGAGCAAACCACAACCCCAGTTCAATGGCCTATGTTGAAGGACAAGACCTTCCTATGGTGCCAAAAAACCGGAATGAAGGCGCCTGAGATCTTCACAATGTCATTCAGGGGGTTTGAACATAAAGTATAAGACTCAGAGGTAAAAAAAACCTAAGAGTTGGTGGTAAAAAATGCCTTGACCAGGGGCTTTGGGCCAAGCTTTGCACACGTCCATCCATTGAGACTATTTCTGAGTAAAAAAGGTGAGAGAGATACCTTTCCTTTCTCCCTTAGAAGGGGCGGAGCTTAAACAAATGAACTGGGGAAACAAGCCAATTGATGCACATCAACAATAAATTGACAGCTATAATAACCAATGAAATTTAACTATACATATACAAGGTAGACAGGAATAAAATGACAGTTTAAATCCTGCAACTAACAGTGCTACATATATGTGGTGCCACACGCGCCGTCACATACAGACTAGAGATGTAGAACCTAATTTATAGAATGTCTTCTCTATTTAATATTGGGGTGCTCATGTCCCTGTTGTGTTGCTGAAATTCGAAGTGTATCCACAAAGCAAGTGAAGTGATTCCCAAAGCAACCACTCACAGCGTAGCTTTCATTTTACTTCAGCAGTATAAGAAATAAAAACTGAGTTCTACCCACCAATCGCTGTACAGTTTTCCTTTTACCACAGCAGTGAAAGAAATAACAACCTATCACTGAGCAGCTTACATTTTGCCTCAGCAGTAGAAGCAATAACAACTAGCCACAGTACAGCTTTCCTTTTACCTCAGCAGTATAAGAAATACCCACCAATCACAGAGCAGCTGTCATTTCACCAAAGCAGTATAGGAAAGGAAAGCTGAGATGTGATTGGTTGCTATTGGCATACCACTCATTCTAACGGACATGGCGTTCGAGTACTAACGACTACAATTTTCAATATGCCTTGCGTTCACTGTGACTATAAATAAAGCGCAGGGGAAATCTCTGAAAGTGTGCAGTTTGAATTTAGAAAACAATTACTTCTCTCAGGGGCACTTTTACATTGCTTGCTCCAGAGTCGGTAAACTGTCAGATCTTCATGTTTATGCAGAAAATGGTCAAACCAAAAATGTAATCAATCCTCTAACTTTACAATTAAACATGATTTCTGTTTTTTTTTTTTTAAAAAAAAACTTTTATACTTTCCCTTCCTTTCATTTCACATAGACACAACAGTGCATGATGTGTTTTCTTGGTGAATCTATGTTCGCAACAACAGTCAGGTTTAGCTAGTTACTTATGAAAAAAAGTAAGAAGCAAGCATAAAATACCCCAATTTACAGCAACATACCTCAGAGTCTTCTCTTTGATCATTGTCATCTTCTTGGCCACCATTCTTTGGCATGTATGCCATCTTCAGCCTCAGAAATCCCTTTACTCGAGATTTGTGACTATAAAGGACAGAGAACATGAGAAAAACTCCATAAGATTCGTCTTAGTCTTTTGAGTGAGAAAGAATTTCTTTCTAAAATAAGTAAACCTTTTGAACAAGTCAACGTTTGTAAAAACAGAACCTCACCTTCTTGGCCTGAGAAGAAAATCTTTAAACGTATATGGTCTTTCCATGGTTGGATCTTCAGTCTATTGATACAACAACAAAGTAGGTCATTAGGGATTGAGTTTGCATGCCTACAGAGAAAACGTTTCAACACATCATGATTTTACAAGAGATCACGGTATTTAATGAAATTTGCTTTTCTTTATAAGAGTACAGTTAACCAAGCACTGCCACTAGGTGTCACACTTAACCCCATCAATAACCCAACCAGATTTTCATAGCCTGGCTTTTTTTTTTCCATGTCAGGAGCAACTTGAGATACTGCAAGTCATTTCTGGTGTGAGAGAATTGGCTGTCTGCAAGGACATTGCCCAGGGGATGCCCTGTTGTTTTATCATCCTTGTGGGAGGCTTCTCTCATGTCCCTGCATAGGGAGTTGGAGCTGACAGAGGGAGCTTATCCATGCTTTCCCCAGATCCGAACCTCTGACCTGTTGGTTTTCAGCCCTACCAGTACAAGGATTTAACCAACTGCACCACCGGGGAGTCCTTCATTGCCTTGTGCATAAAAACACTTAGGATGCAGGAATGGCTAGTGGTGCATAGAAATACTTAAGAATAAAACTCACTCCAAAACAATATTCATGGGACACATCCAGAAGAGGCCTTTGTCTCACCAATAGCCTTGTCTAGTTATGATATCCTCTCATGACTTCTAAGCACTTTGTGTTCTTAATGCAAAAATCTATTATGGACAATAAGAAAAAAGAACAACCGAAAACCACCTTCTAATTGGAGCCATTGCAGTACAACAGGTTAAACCCTTGTGCCAGCTAGACTGCTGACCTGAAGGTTGCTGGTGTGAATCCGCAAGACAGTGTGAGCTCCTGTCTGTCAGCTCCTGCAGGGACATGAGAGAAGCCTCTCAGCATGATGGCAACACATCTATGTGTCCCCTGGGCAACCTCTCTGTAAATGGCCAATACTCCCACACCAGAAGCAACTTGCAGTATGTTTTCAAGTCGCTTTTGACATGATTTAAAAAACCTTCTAATTCACTACAGAAAAACCTCTTTATCTGGAAGCACCCCTGGTCACACGTTCAACTTTTCTCATTAGCCCACATTATGCCAAGACTTCGAGTTAATGCAGAGAAGCCATATACAGCCAACCCTCCACATTTGCTGCAGTTAAGTGCAAAGGACCCCATGAAAATGAAAAACAATGAATAAAGGGGTTTTTTTTACTTGAAAGAACAACATCTTCAGGAGTTTCTAGATCAGTGATTTCCAAATTCTAGTCTTTCAGGTGTTTTGGAATTCAGGAAACCTAAACAGCCTTGGCCAATGACCAGGGATTCTGAGAGCGGAAGTCCAAAACATCTGAAAGAATAAAGTTTGGGAAATACTGTTCTAGATCTCCCAGCATGACTGTATAGTCAACTTCTGCTGGAGGCTTACAGAATCACATTGGAGGCTCTAGAGTCCTACAGGGGTTTTCTCTCAAGAAATATCTAAGTCAGGCATGGGCAAACTTTGGCCCTCCAGGTGTTTTGGACTTCAACTCTCACAATTCCCAGTAGGCTGTTAGGAATTGTCGGAGTTGAAGTCCAAAACACCCGGAGAGCCAAAGTTTGCCCATGCCTAAACTAAGTCCTCCAGCATGACAGGAGGAAGTTGACACTGAGTCACAACGGAGGACCTAGAGATTCCTAGAGATAATATTCTTAATCAAATCCATAAATAATCAAGTCTGAAAAACAAATGCATTAGGATGATTGTAATGCATCACTATACAATACAATACAGTAAACAGCTTCACTAAAAGCATTGCTACTCAAAGTGGTGATCCATAGACCAGTGTAAGTCTTTGAGCAATCAGCTGTGGGGCCCTGGATAGTTTCCAGGGTTTTTTTTTAAAAAAAACATTTATAGCTAATTGGAAACGATATGGTACCAGAACCTGTCCCACTTGGAAGTAAAATTGCCAGTCTAATCATATCAGATAGATTAAACAACAAAGTATGGACTCTCCCCATTCCCATGACATGGAGAAGAGATGGCAACAGAACAATTGTGGGATGGAAAGCCATATTTTAACTTTGGGAAGGGCTGTAGATCAGCGATAGAGAACATGTGTCGAATGCAAAGTTGCCAGTTTCAATTTTTGGCAATATAGAGAATACTAAGTTGCTGGATCAATCATCAGCTTGATTTGAGAAAGATTTTTGTAGACAGCAGTTCTTGTCACAAAAAAGCTGCTGACACTACTGTATCTTAATTAGTATTCACTCTACTGATGTTATTTATGGGATTGGAAAGACTATAAATTGTGTTGTGCATATGAAAACCATTGTCAGTTAATTTGAGTGGATGCCAACTGTGCTCAGCCTGATGCACAGTTGGCAGTGTGAGTGCCAGCTGAGGGACTGGTAGGACTACATGGAGCCTCCAAGTTACAAGGCAGCAACCTAGTATGAATAGGGTTCTGATGGACTAGCCAGCTGATTCACCTGATTGATTAGGAACGACACCCATTGACTGTTAGAGTGTGTTAAGTGCTAGTCACTATGGGACTGTTACACCAGCTGGTTGAATAATATTGAATAATACCCCACCCCCAAGTATTGCAACACATTCAATGAAAGGGGTGTGAGTCCTTGTTGGTGCTTTTAGACTTTTGATACCATTGGCTTTTGATACCATTGACCATGATATCCTTCTGGAATTCCCGCAAGGGCTGGAATTTGAAGGCGCTCTGTTGCAATAATTCTGGCTGTACCTCTCAGGCAGATTTCAGATGGTGGTGCTTAGGGATTGCTGCTCCTCAAAAAAAGAAGCTGTTATATGGCTTCCCACAAGGTGCCATTCTAGCCCCAATACTTTTTAATATTTACATGAAACTTCTGGGAAAGATCATCCGGAGGCATGGGGCAGGGTGTTATCAGTGTGCTGATAACAACCAAATGTATTTCACCATGCCTTCAAAAACAGTCTTAGCTAAGAATAGTGTGTCTCATCTGAATGAATGTCTGCAGGGGATAATGGGGTGGATGAGGAAAAATAAACTAAAACTGAATCCAGACAAAACAGAGGTGCTTCCCATCAAGGGTTCTAACCTGGGGATGAAGTTGTATCAACCAGTTCTGGAGGGAGTTATACTCCCCCTGAAATATTGTGTTTGCAGCTTGGGAGTGCTCCTGGATCCACCTCTCCAAATGTCAACCCAGGTAGATGTGATGGTCAGGAATGCTTACTTTGGCTAATACACCAGATGCACCCCTTCCTAAATTATGAGGACCTAAAGATGGTAGTGCATGCACTGGTTAACTCAAGATAGGATTTCTGCAACACGCTGTGCGTTGGATGACCCTTGTACCAAGTTTGGAAACTCCGGGTGGTTACAGAACCTACACTGATGATACTTACAATGGAGGGAAGTTGACAGCATTGTCACTTTCACAGTTATAAACAATTCCTCCACATTTAAGGCACTTGCCACACACAATTTCTGAGATAGACAGACAGATAGATAAGGTAAAGGTTTCCCCTGACATTAAGTCTAGTTGTGTCCTACTCTGGGGGATGGTGCTAATTTCCATTTCTAAGCTAAAGAGCTGGCATTGTCTATAGACACCTCCAAGGTCATGTGGCCAGCATGACTGCATGGAGAAGCATTACCTTCCCACAGAAGCAGTACCTATTGATCTACTCACATTTGCATGTTTTCAAACCGCTAGGTTGGCAGAAGCTGGGCCTAACAGCAGGAGCTCATCCTGCTCCCTGAACCACCAACCTTTCGGTCAGCAAGTTCAGCAGCACAGCAGTTAAACCCGCTGCACAACCAGGGCAAAGACTGCCCAACACACATTGTTTTTTCCTTCTAGGATACTTCTTTTGTCTTGGTCAAGGTTAGTCATACTTGGGTCCTATTTGTGCCCAACTTCAAAAAATGCAACGAAAACCATTTTTAGAAAACCATGATGCAGTAAGGAGATTGCAAGATATTGGGTCCATTTTAGGGCGAGGTTAAATTTACTTTAAACAAACACACAAATTTATTCCATTGGAGAAACACTAGCAGAAGGGTCCTATAATATCAGAAATTAAATTTTCCACTAATCTTCATCTTGATCCCAATCCCTGGAATTCTGACAGTGGCTGAGAGCACATCCCACCGTTCACACATGGCAGGCTTTCAAAAGATAAAATCCGAAAGCATGAAAGATAACAATGGTTATGACAATGGCTCATTACACGGCTTGTGAATTGCAAAGAAATACTTACTTAGCTATGATTATTTTAAAAATAACAGACATAACGAGTACTAATAAATGCTCAAAAGTACCAGCTTTTAAACAAAATGCAAAAATGCACAATAGCGAATCTTTAATATCTGGTTGATTATCAAGCACCATAAAACAAAAAAAGTGGAGGGAGGGAGGGGAGTGCAAACGAAAGAACGATGCCCCCATGATTTTCTGTAAAGCGAGCCAGACCTTTACACCCCTAGCAAATCTCTTTCCCAGCATTGCTGCAAGAATAAATGAGATAAGAATTGTCACACACTTTGTACCTTTAACAGAAATGATTAATTATACTAATAAAATGGCATATGCTGATTGCAGAAATTGGAAAGGTTCCAACTACGCTGTGCATTCTTAATGGGGACACTTAACCCAAGAATGAAACTGCTCAGACATTTCTTTAAAAACCTGTGTTACTTAAGCAAATCGACTAGAACAGCTGCAGCAAAGGCATATTAAACTCCCAGGCAAATATGAACTTGGCGCATTCAGGACCCCAGGACAGGCAATGGAAAATGGTAAAACACAATCTGGAATTCTTAATTTCCAGAAAGGAAATGGGGAAACTTCCAAGTGGAAAACTCTGAAAGAGCCCTGGATCCTTGCCGAACCTGACATTCTAGATGTCCAATAGATACCAAGAGATTTGTGTATTGAAACAGCACTAAATTCCAAAGGAGGGTAATAGTATCATAAACATACAAGTAAAATACAGTAAAAGACTGTTTGGTTAATGAGGGAAAATGTGACCCAAACATGTGCATTCATACATTCTGTG